AAGGCAACGGAGGTGTTGAATTATTTGATTCCATTCTTCTTGGGCACGAAAGGTCTTCAAAGTGATGCGGAAGATGTTAGAGAATTTGCGCTTGAAACTGTTTTGAAGCTATGCAAGGTTGGAGGCAAAGCGGTCAAACCTCATGTTCCAAAACTCTTGGAGACATTCATAGAGTTGATGTCCACGCTCGAGCCAGAAGTTGTGAACTACTTGATGTTGAATGCGGAGAAGTACAATTTGAGAACGAGTGATGTTGATGCAAAGAGACTTCAGAGTCTCAGTCATTCGCCTATGATGGATGCCATCGGAAAAATCCTCGCCATCACTGACGAGGAACTCATGCCTCAAATCATAAACTCGATCCGTAAGTCGGTCAAAAAGTCAGTGGGGCTTCCATCCAAGGTTTGCGGCAGCAGGGTTATTGTCAATCTTATCACGAAGAACTACATTATTGCCAAGCCATTTGGCGATAAGCTCCTCGAGATATGTATCTCTCAGCTTAATGATAGAAACTCCACTGTCGCTTCGTCTTATGCTGCAGCTGCCGGTTACGCCTCAAAAATTGCCAGTCTCGATGCTGTTTTGAAATACAGCGAGTTGATTGCAAAAACCTACCTTGAAGCAGAAGATGAGACCCCACGCTCATTAGCAGCCATTGCCTCTGAAAGTGTCAGTAGGTACAGTGGCCTGGACAGATTTGAGGCTGTCGCCTCGGCTTTCCTCCCATTGGTATACATCGGAAAGCATGACGAGTCAGAGGCCGTGCAACAGATCTTCGAACGTGAATGGATCGAGAGTTCTGGTGGCAGAAGCGCCACGAAGCTCTACTTCGATGAGATTCTCAGAATCAGTGAAAGCTATGGTAAGCTGAACAATTATTATATTCGTCAAGTGATTGCTCGTTCCATAGCTGACGTTTGCAAGACAGTCGAGATCGACTCTGACAAACAATTGAAGAAGCTTTTTGACTTATTGTTGGAATCTTGCAAAGGCAAGTCGTGGTCAGGAAAAGAGTTGGTTTTCGATGCCTTGGTCGACTTCGCTATTTTGAAGTCCAGCTATGTCAGAAAGCAGGAATCACTTCTCGAGGAGATTTCCAAAACCGTGCAAGTCGAGGGCAAGAGAAGAAACAAAGCCTATCAGGTTAAGGCAATTTTCAGCGTTGGCAAGTTCATTTACGAGTTCCCTGAAGACATAGAGATTGTGGAAACATACATCGATGTAATGGGTGATGTGCTTACGGAGGATTATCAAGACGAGATTGAAATGGCCGAGCTGCTTCCAGATAAAAAGACAAACAAAGCACAAGAGGCCATTATTGTTGAGGAGTTCAATTTGAATCTTTTGAAGAATGTATTTGCATCCATCTCACCAAAGCAGCTCCACAAAGATCTACTCCAATTTGCCTTGGAGTCATCAGCGAAGTTCAAGAACTCTGACCTCGAGCAATCTTGGAGAACATGCACAGGGTACAACGAGAATTTTAAAACGCTTTTGGAAGGATTGTTGGCTGAAAAGACTTCTCTCAGTTCAGCAGAATTGGACATGATCGCCAAAGCATTCAAGACGCTTTTTGATTTTGGTGACAAAGGACTGCTCGAAAAGAATGTCATTATGTTGGCAAGAAACGCCACTACGTTTTTCAAAGTTTTTGATCAAAATGGTGCTTCCAACGAGGCAGCATTTGTTGTGGACAAGTTGAAGGCCATGTTGAATGATAGAGTTTCAACCATAACGGAAAACGAGTTGAAAAGCGCCATTCAAACGTACCAATAAATCTACAAGTAATATAGTCTAATGATAGATTCAAGCTATTTATATGATTAGGCATGCATCAAATCACTGACCACCTCTCAATCTCAACACCAAGTGAAGAGTAGATTCCTTCTGGATGTTGTAGTCAGAGAGGGTCCTGCCATCTTCCAATTGCTTACCAGCGAAGATCAATCTCTGCTGGTCAGGTGGGATGCCCTCCTTGTCTTGGATCTTGGACTTGACATTGTCAATGGTGTCAGAGGACTCAACCTCAAGGGTGATTGTCTTACCAGTCAATGTCTTGACGAAGATCTGCATACCACCTCTCAATCTAAGAACCAAGTGGAGAGTAGATTCCTTCTGAATGTTGTAGTCAGACAAAGTTCTACCGTCTTCCAATTGCTTACCGGCAAAAATCAATCTTTGCTGGTCTGGTGGAATACCTTCCTTGTCCTGAATCTTGGACTTGACGTTGTCGATAGTGTCAGAAGATTCAACTTCGAGGGTGATGGTCTTACCGGTCAAGGTCTTGACAAAGATTTGCATACCACCTCTCAATCTAAGAACCAAGTGAAGGGTCGACTCCTTCTGGATGTTGTAGTCCGAGAGAGTTCTACCGTCCTCGAGCTGCTTACCAGCGAAAATCAATCTTTGCTGGTCTGGTGGGATACCCTCCTTGTCCTGGATCTTGGACTTGACGTTGTCGATGGTGTCGGAAGACTCGACTTCCAAAGTGATAGTCTTACCAGTCAAGGTCTTGACGAAAATTTGCATACCACCTCTCAATCTGAGGACCAAGTGAAGAGTGGACTCTTTTTGGATGTTGTAGTCGGACAAGGTTCTACCATCTTCCAACTGCTTACCGGCAAAGATCAATCTCTGCTGGTCTGGTGGAATACCCTCCTTATCCTGAATCTTAGACTTGACGTTGTCAATGGTGTCAGAGGACTCAACCTCCAAGGTAATGGTCTTACCGGTCAAGGTCTTGACGAAGATCTGCATACCACCTCTCAATCTGAGGACCAAGTGAAGAGTGGACTCCTTCTGGATGTTGTAGTCGGAAAGGGTTCTGCCATCCTCGAGTTGCTTACCAGCGAAAATCAATCTTTGCTGGTCAGGTGGAATACCTTCCTTGTCCTGGATCTTAGATTTGACATTGTCGATGGTGTCGGAGGACTCAACCTCGAGGGTGATGGTCTTGCCTGTCAAGGTCTTAACGAAAATTTGCATGTTGTGTGTTTGTTGCTGTAGAAAATAGGTGAGGTGTTTGTGGCGACTTTGCCACTATATATACTGCCAGATAGGGGGTGTAGATAGGGTGCGAGTCACGTGGTTTCTGGGGGTAACCGCAGTGTGCGGCGAGCACTTTTCCGGCATGTAGGGGCGGATTTCTTTAGGCTGACAGAAAAAGCAATTCACAGTCGCCGAAAAAAGCAATTTGGTGACTTACAAGCGGCTGGCGCCGGGCCTAAACGAAATGTGTGATGTTTGAAAAAATGGCTGTGAGAGGTTTTTCCGGGATTTGTATATGCAATGACATTGACGAATTTTTTTTTTTCTTCCGATGTTTGGAATGCATGACTCGGCAAATTGCCGCAATTCCACGCTTCTAGAAATCAGCTGAGACACGAGGAGTCATGGAGTGATCTGCCGTTTACTATTTGAAACGAGTTTTTGTAGATTTTTAAGGTTTCCTGTCTCGTGCGTGATTTAGTTGAAGACCTTTTTTCATTCTCTTTTCTTTTTCTATGGCGAGTTTGGTCGGATCAATCGTAGCCGTGCTTGTTTACCATGGAACTGAGAAGTAGACGAAGAGTCATCAGGAATCAAGCCATTGGGTGTAAGTGAGTCATTAATAATGTTGGCCGGTGAGAATTCATGGTAGTCATCTTTACATTTTGAAAGATACGTAAAACTCCGGCTTAAGCCACTGTGGCACATTTTGCAGCCAATGGTGAGGCTAGCCAGATCAAGGAATTAAAAGTGTGAGTCAACTCAACCTTTCTTAGTGTTTTGAATGTCACAAGAGGAGTCTCTATTGTTTAGTCAATTGAATTCGATAACTGTCGAGTTGGATCGAGTTGGATCAATGCTCTTGATTCATTCACTATGTGTAGATATCAAAGGGAGCACTTACTGCCTAAACCTCATTATTCATCTTCTAACCCACTTCTACAGCTCTAAAAGGCTAGTCAGAATTCCTACAGAATGTCTTGTAACATATTAAATTGTCTTGTATGTGAAAATCGTTAGTCATTAGTCATTAGAAGTGAATTAGGGATCTTTCAATTCGGCCCATCCCTGGAATCGTAGAGTTGTCTAGATTTAACGACGGCGTCGCTTTGTAGTAAGGGCGACCCAAGCGAGGCCGGTTGTCAGTTGTTAGCCTTGAGTAGAAGCCATAGTTCTTGGACTGAAGCACTTGTAGAGAGGCACTTGCAGAAGAGCAAATGACACCAAAAACTAGATAGCAATAAGCTTCCTCTCCATAAGCGCCAACTTCTTTCAACAAACTCTAGAATAGTCAAACGGGTGGCCCGACCTCGGACGCCTGTAAAGCGCTTATCAATCGCACATCCGCCCACAAATGGAGATGCTAGTGCACGCATTATATTAGGAGATCGGAACAGGCGGGGCAAGCAAGACCGCCTAAAGTGGGAGGAGGATCTGGAAACGCTGGCTTTCGAGGAGAGACCAATTCGGGAAGTGGTCGTGGTTTCAACAGTCTCGCAGGAGGAGTATCGTTGATTTAGGAGAAGACTTTGGTGAGGAATTCAGCAGATAGGCTTTTCGTCTTGGGAAGTAGTGGGGACTCTAGGTAGGTGTTCTGGAATATGCTGTTAAAGTTGCCGGGGCTCATGGGCCACGATAGTCGATAAGCTGTGACAATTCCTGGAAATTGAGCAAATCGTAGGTTGTTCGTCTTCTACCCCGAGGATTCATTCACCCGCTAAATCCTTTCAGCCATTGTAGTGTCAGCTAATCCGAAAAGGTCTTCGTTCCTGGACTCTTGATGAATGCGATCTTGCTTGATGATTCAATTGATCCGCCCCAATTAAGACAGGAGATGGAAAGGTTCCCGACTCAATTTAACCAGCAATACCAGTGGTCTAAGAGTATTCTTTTACCGCCCATTCCCGTCCTTCAGCAGCATAGCACACCTCCCAGTACAGCAACCAGCCACACTAACCACACCAACTGCACCAGCAAACCCAAAACCCACTAAATCCCCAACGTCCCCCGCCTCAATGTAGCGTGGGAATCACCTGGCCCCTCATCTCCAACCGCAACTGGTCCAAAGAGTCCCGTGAGACCCTCAACGCCTCATCATCCTCACAGAACCTCACCACAGCATCCACCTTGGCGTACACCGCCAGAGCATACGTTTTAGAATATCCCATGGCACCCAAAGGCACCACAATCGCCGTGTACCGGCTCCGAAGCCAGTTCATAAAGCTGCCAGACCCCCATTGACACAAGTAGAGAAGCACCGTGAGACACTTGAGGGCCACGAGCTGCTTGGTCTGGCCCTGCAGCGGCACCAACACCTTGAGGAGCTTTTTCTCCAAAACAGAGCAAATCGTGGCCATTTTGCGTGGCTCAAACGTGAGGATGGAGAGCTCTAGAAGCTCACTGTTGTAGGGACCCAAGGGCTGCAGCGATAGCGCTGATGTTAGAACAATTTCTGGAATAGTGTACAGAAAGCATCTTTGAACATACCGTTTCGTATTTTCAGCTCCGTGGAGGAGGCTAGGAAGAGCATGGAGTAGAGATGGATCTAAATTCTTGCTTCTCGGCATTTCGGCTATCGGGTAGCCCGCGATGCGCAAATACTCGGGACCCCCGGATTTTCACCATGACAATGGTCTGGAGAATTAGTGGGGATTTTTTGGACTCGAAGGGGATTTCGTTTTTGTTGGTTGGCTTTTTTGGATTTCATAGGCTAGGTTATATGGCAGGTTGGGCAGGTTATAGGGCAGGTTATAGGGTATTGATGATGCACCGTGGTGGATATAGAGATGGAGATGGAGTACGAGCCAGCCAGACGAAAATGGTGATTTTCTGGGATTTTGAAAAAAGTTCGATTTTCGATCACAGAGACACAGAGAAGCAGAGATTTCAGAAATACAGCCAATTACGGGCGGGTTTCTTGCCTTCTGGGTGTTGTACCCCGGTTTTCGCTGAGGAGTCCATTGTCTCACATGCTGGGCCAGTACAAGGTGGGGAGGAGCTTTTCACGAGAAGATCAGAAGCCCAGTGAAGCCTGAAAATGAACCGATAAGGTATGGACGTTTTTGGAAATTGCAACGGTTCGGAAAGTTCACGGGATATTGGTTCCTGATGGTTCTAGTATTGAGTGTAGGGTACGATGGTAGGGCACGATGGTATGGTAATCTGGGGTATCAAGGAAATGGGGTGTAGGTTTTTGACAGAATGGGCCCACATTCAGAGAAGCTTCTACGGTATTAAAGGCTTGAATTACGGAAGAGATCGACAGACCCCTGTGGCTGATCTGCCCACTGTAAAGTGGTAGTATGGAGAGTGGTCTGATAGTGATAACAGATAAGATCCGGGGAATGGAGCCATAGCCCAGGGTGACTGAATTAAGGAAATGATGCCAAAGAGCATGATTCTGTTAAAATATTGGGAAACCACATTCTGGAACGGCTCCGTTTCAGGAGACTTACTTCGCTTGCTACCTTACTGTGGCTCTAGCCTTGCTCGTCAATGCACAGATAGCAAGAAAGACTAAATCTTCGTCTCCGTTTAGACGAATTTTCCTTAAATACAAACTTTGATACCCTCGGCAAGCTCCATTCCATTTGGGTTATTTCGGAAGCGGTTCACTCTTGGCTTTCGGAAATGAAGTACCGGAGTCATCGGAACCTCCCGACCCCTATATCCGAGCCAGCACCAATACACCATTTTTGTAGCGATTTGAAGATGACGAAGGGGATTGAAATTATGAGCCTTTGATTCCGGCCTTCTCCACAATCCGTTCCGTGTGTTCTAGTTTCTTGTAGCTGTGGGTGCAAAAATGTCGTCGCATGGTCACCCTCTATCTCGGCAACCAGGCGTCGTAGAGAAACGAACATAAGTTCATTGGATTACTATCATCTTTTTCTAAGCGTCAATACTACTACTGTTTAAAAAAGCTGCTGTCGACTCCTTTTCACCCGAGGACTGCTGAGGCAGCGACGACATTGTCGCGGACCGGCTCGACCGCGGCCTACAATGGCAACAAAGAACCACGAAACACGCTTCTGGAAGAATTTCGAAAATCCCGTCACGTGACGCCGTCCACCCACTCCAAATTACCACGCCATAGCCACCTCCTTTAAAAATCGCCGTTTTTTCCCGCCACCACTCTTTCCTCGTGCGGACTATTACCGCAACAGTCAAGCGCTCAGAAGACAGCCCACCCGAGCGTCCTGCACACAAGCGCAAATTCAGGCCCACCTTCCCTGCTCGTTTTTTTGTGCAAGTGTCTGCCATTTTTTTTGGCCCTATCGCTCTGCGCATTTGATATCTATCGATCCACCTCTTTTGCTGGTATACCTGTGAACACAGCTTCAGCAGCGTCTCCACGCCGGCAAAGAACCAAAAACAAAACCCGTGCCTCTCCACCCATCTCAGTGGAGAGCCCGTTTTTTTAAAAAAAGCCCCTCCTCAAGCCTTCGAAAAGCACTTGTTCTTTTTCGTGTGCCCCAGGATCCTCAGGGATAGCCAATTCCACCAGAAACCGGCGTCCTCCACAACAAGACTCCAGCAGATAATCTAATTCTGCATTTGGAGCTTGAATTCCATCTCAGCCGATAGGCTTTTTTCCCCATTTCATTGATTCCGATTTGCATTTGGCTCCGCCATGTACTAGAATGGTCCCTTGCTCAGACCACTTAGAAGAAATCGACCGTTCGGAACCAGAACCGCCGCTAAGCGGCCCGCCGAACGGTACGCTGCTGCCAAAGAAACCCAAGCCGTCGTTCCACTACGACCCGGACTTGTTCGCCAAGTGCAAAACGTACCTTGAGAAGAAGAACTACCACGGATTGGCGCTTATCGCCCGCCAGAAGGGAATCCCGCCATTTCTCCGTTTCAAGGTATGGCCCATGTTGCTTAAGCACCACCCTTACGTGCTCAATCCGTTTTTACAGCCGGACAGACAGCCAGACAGCGACGAAAACCTGGAGTCGCTGGAGCTGGACGAGCTAGAGCTCAAGCGCAAGATCAGAAAGGATCTCAGGAGATACATGCATCGCGTGGCAAGCCCTTCGGACGAACCGCTTCTGGAAACGGAGCTGCGTTTGTTTGATACTTTGGAGAAGTCCGTGCACAAGTTTATTGTCAAATGGGGCAGGATCATCAAGTATGACCTGTCGCTTTCGTGGTTTGCCTTGGGTCTAGCGGAATGGTTCCCGCCTATTCCACACACCTCGTGGGTGCTTTTAGGCAGAGACGTTCTTTCGGCCAATAACACACACATTGGATGTGTGTTTGATGATTACCAAGAGTACATTCATTCGCTGCCGGGTCTTGACTCGTACCTCAAGGAATTGGTCCAGGACGAAAACATCAGCAACATGAGCTTCCATGAGGTGTACGAGAGACTTGTGCTCATTCTCTTGCACTCGCCCGAGCTGGCGAACAAGAGAGATCCTTCCAAGCTGGTCAAGATCGACAAACTGACGCTTCCAATCAATGGAGGCACCATCGAAGAGAGAGTCTCGTTCTTCATCTACGTTTTCCAGATTCTTTTACCGGAGCTTTCCGAGTATTTCCTGGAAGAGCAAATCCTCAACAAGTTTGGTGCTCACGACGACGAGTGGCTCATTTGGTGGCTCAAATTCTGCGGTGCCAAGGTGTGGTCCCGTGTGGATCGTGGCCGTGTGTGGGATCTTCTTGTTGGTTGGCGTCTTCAAAGTAAAAAGTCCGAAAACAACAAGCATTACTACAGCGACAAGCTCAACATCTCAGACCAGTTGCTTGACAAGTTGGGACCTGACGTGTTCTGGACAGTCGACTACGAAGAAGACCAACCAGCTCTGCCCACTTTGACAAAGCGTGATTCCTTCAAGGACCTCATGAGCGAGTTGCACATTGAGCCTCCTGGCAGTAACGACAGCAGCGGCCTTGAGAGCATTTCCAACAACGACTTGCCTCCACAGCGTAACCACAACAGTACGTCGTCCTCGTCACTGGGATCCACGCTGCCGTCGCTTCTGCCCTCTCTGGAATGCTCACTGAGCCTGAGTTGCACCGATGACGGGCCGGTAATTCCTTTCTCGAAAATCGACATGCACATCGAGCTTCTTTTTGTCTGTCTTGCGCTTTTACAGGCCAAAGGCAACACGTTGGTGGAGCTTGACCAGCACGAGATCAGAACGTTCTTATCGAGGCTTCCGGCAAAGTCGTTCAAGGCCAGCGACAAGTACAAACAGTACCAGGAGCAAAAGGACAAGGAGAAAGGATCAGCTCCACCAGATAGCGGATTCCGCTACGACTACATGGACAGCATTATCTATGAAGCTGGAGAGCTTTGGCGAAAATGGCTCTGGAGAGAGCAGACGTCGTAGGCACAAGGCCTGCGCTAGAGTTCCAGCGCCCTCCTGGAGCATATATAGAACCATCATTTTTTCAGGTATGACCCACAATTTACGACTTACAGAACAGGAACTATCGCTTCAAGGAGCAGACATCCATTGTACTGGGTGGACCGTTATCACCGGCCGGTGGTATACTGCACAAGTTGTGCATGGACCCTCATCCAGGCCAAGTCCTTTCTCGGCTTTCCAACTCGATACTACAATTCCTTTTTCTGATCTTTCCGAATAATGGTTCTCAATCCAGGCTTCAAGGTTCGAAACCTCCTAGCGTACAATTTTGCCGGCTTTGCCTGCATTTCGCTTGTGGTGTTTCTCCTGGCTTCGCAGCCATTCTACTTATCAGATGTGATCGGCGTGGACCTGAAGAAGATTGGTTCCGTGGTGGGCACTTTGGGTGTTTTAGACGAGCTCACGTCGATCTTGGTGGCGGTATTTTTGGGAACTTTCAACGATAAACTCAATTTCTGGGCCAGACTGGCCAAGGGGTTCTTTCCCTCGGGACCTAGGATCCTCGAATTGGGAGGATTTGTGCTTTTGGCCATTTCTCTCTTTGGTTACGGCAAATTGTCCAAACACGTGTTTCCAGAGCTTTGGTTCTGGCGTGCTATCTTTGCTGTGGCTGTCACGGCTTGTATGAGTACGGTCACTGTGATGCTTCATGAAGCGAACAACTCGGACTTTGCATGGACCGATTTGGCGTTCTGGAAGATGTACCAGAAGAAGAAGGACCACGATGAAGCCGAGCTGGGCCTTTTGACCGAAGAGCCTGTCTTTGTTCCTCAGCAGAAAAAGAAGCACGGAAAACTCTCGGCATTGATTGGAGTATCGACCGGACTTGGTGCCGTTTTCTCGGTTTCGGTATTTTTGACGTTGCCAGTGAAGCTTAGTGACCACAACCCAGACCTCTCCAGAGCCGGAAGCGTCAAACTCTCGTATGTGATCTTATCGGTGTTTGCACTTGCAGCAGCCGTTATCGTCTTCACATTCGCTTACGACAGTGCCAAAAGCAGAAGGGAAAACGGCGATATCGATGCAGAGCTGTCCAGGGACCTGTCGTATCCTGAGCTTCTCAAGGAAGGTCTCCAGGCGTCTAAGAACAACAGAAGGGTGCAATTGGCCTATGTCAGTTCGTTTGTCTCGAGATCCACCACCGTGGCCAATTCCGTCTTCATTCCGCTCATGGTGTTCAAGTACTACTCGGAACACGGAAAGTGCAGCGGGTCTGCGCTGGATGCCGCCAACTCTCCACTGAAGGATGACTGCTACGATGGTTACGTTTTCCTGGCTATTCTCACCGGTGTGGCTCAAACAGTAGCGCTTGTTTCCTCTCCAATCTGGGGTGTTTTGGTCGATTCCAAGCGTTTGGGCTGTCTGATGACGTTGCTTATTGCTGCTGTCAGCGGTATGGTGGGTGCTTTTGGACTTTGTATCGCCAGTGTAGGAGCCGACGGGTACGACCCTCGAAACGCCTTGTGTTTCATTCTTGTGAGTTTTATTGGTCTTTCCCAAATCGGCACCATCATTGCTTCCATGAGCTTAATCAGCTCTATCGGTCTGACGCCAGAGTCTACCGAGCACAAGGTCATTGGTAGTATCAGTGGATGCGCCAGTGTGTGTGGAGGAGTGGGAATTTTGTTGATCACAAAAGTTGGTGGTTCCTGGAGTGATCTGTGGACGTTTGCGCCATTTTTCATCTTGGGTGCCCTCAATGTCGTTTTGGCTGGGTCTTCAATTGCAGCCACTAGAGGGTAATTACAAAAGTGTACAGGATGGATAGGTTTAAGAGTATGGACATGTCGATGTAGGAGCAGAAGGTAAAAGCAGGGTAATGACAAATAAGCAGGGAAGGAACTGAAAAGATAAGAAGCCTGTTATCATGGTACGGTTATGTGCTTATGGTATGCGCCTTAACTAGCTCATTTGCACATATACTTGGAGGAATACTCTACCAGTGATTTGACCATATCGAAATCAGTCAGGGATACAATTTTTGTTACATTCAGCCAAATTAAAAGAAAATTCATATTTAATGTCTCCATGATTCTATCCTCACTTTCGAATATACTGTTAACGTGCGGCTCACTAGACCTATTATGTACTGCAGCTTTCGAAGAGGTACCTCGTATCTTGACAGCCTGAAACACTCGTAATGTTATCATCGTGGACCGACTATCTATTCCTTTTTCTAGGTTGAAATTTCACTGGACTGATTGATTCATACCATACCCATGGTTTCAGAATCATAGCTTCTTAAAGAAAATCTACTTTAACGACTACTCAGCTCAACAGTCTTGGAAGCTCTCATACACTTCAACAGCTATTAATTCAATAATACCGAGTCTTCAACAAAACACCTCAATTGAGCAGCACGTATCTACTTAGCTGATTACTTACAAATTTCAGTATGGCACGCATTGAAAAAGACAAGCCAAATGGGACTCGAGGATCCAGTGGGACCATATCGATACTCATTATCTTGTACACGATGATAATTGTTCAATTCGAGTCGTGCCAGGAACTTTCGCCTTTAGAAAACCAGAAACCTCTCGAACTTATTCTTAGTATGGGACTCTTGCAAATGGGTCCGTGGGCTATGTTGCTCCTAGGTGGTAAGGCGTTCAGCTTCCGAAGTATCATGCTCATAAGCTGCATTTTTCAAGCTATTCGCTCAATTGCATTAAAGCTTTCAGTCTATCACGAATCACAGGTATTGGAAAACTTCGCCTTCAGTCTCAGTTACTACTATGTCTGTTTGATAGTTATCTCATGTATCTTTGTCTTCTTGTCAAGCGGACTAGAGGCATGGAAGGTTATCATTGCATGTGCTTGGCCTGTTCTCTTGGCTTTGTTTCTGAGTGTGAAGAGCCTTAGTGTTTTCGGAATGATGTCCGCAGAAAGAGGCTCAGATATTACAAGTGCTTCTTCGCTTTTGATGATTTTGTTCATTTACCGGTACTTTCCACGTACTATCAAATTTGACAATGAGGTGATTCACACTAAAGCTTGGCCGGATTGGGCAGTTGTTGTTGCTCCTCCAGTGGTTAGCACCGTATGGCTTCATTTGATTAGAGGCTTCGATTCAGAATCCACCTCTTGTCTCCTGAGTTTGACTTTGATATCGGTGCTTGTGTTGGTTGGACTGGCAGCTATGGCAGTTGCAGTCTCCCGCAGAATAGATGCCATCAGGGCAGAATTGTCTAAAGAGGATGACGATTAGGATGGGAGGATCAAAGAAGTTTACAATTGCATTGTGCAAATGATAAGAGACGGATGCAGTAAGAAGATTGTACATTTGGTGGTGACCCAAGTAGTCCATATTCTAAATGACTTGATGAGCAATTCGGGGTATTCAAGTGATTCAGTTCACTCTCGCTAGATTGATCAAGACCTCAACTTGCAAGGGTCAATACCGGTGAATAAATTGCATAGACAATGACTACTGATGGAAGCTCATTTGCTGAATTTGGACCTTGTCGGGATAAGATGGCCCGATGTCAGCCTCGAGGTACTTGTGATAGCATCTAACTTGAAGGAAAGACGGCAGCCATCAGAGCGAGAGAAACGCAAATAATTATTCTATTAATTTTCACAGCCTAATGATGTGACGTATGAACCCCACGGATCCCATTTAAGCCGAAAGTGGCTAGAATCATTCCCTCATAAAATCATCCAATTACGCTTGCGAGATTGATTGTGCTAAGTACGTCCCATTTGATCAATGCGTCAGGCGTCTCCTTTTAATTGCAGAAACATCTCTCCCATTTCTGCATTAAACAAAAAAATGCCATATATTCATCGCCTCCTGTCACCATTCTCCTCCTGCCCGTATTTTCCCGCTAAGCACCATTTCGCAGCCATGGATATAAGGCGACCACAAGTGATTCCATAATCTACAGAATTTTTACCAGCAAAACAGAGCAAGGCAATTTACAAGAGCAATTGTTTTCTCAACCTCCTTAAAAAATTTCCACAAATTTCTATTACTATCCTTGCATCCCCCAATGTTTACCCACCTCTTTTGTGCCTTACCCATCGGCCATTCCTACTACTAAATTTCGCGATCATCGAATACCACCAACTATGCTTGAGGTGCTTTTGACCGCTGGGCCTGCACTCTGCTGGCTTCTCTGCCGGCTCTACCAGATACTCCAGACGCCTCTGGAAGCTCTTTTCAAAAAACTATCCATAGATATTCCCCATGCACCCAAGATAACCATAGATCAGCTCCAGAAGAACCAAGTGGTGCTTCACTGGGATACCGAGGAGTGGCAGGAAAACGTGTATTTTGTTGTTCTTGTGAATGGTCGTGAAGCAGCTTCGCTTGCTGGAAAGCTGATTTGCCTCCAGGGCCTTGAAGCTTCGAAAATGTACCTGATTGAGGTTTTGGCGGTCAACGCCGCTACCAACTTCAGATCCCAGAGTGGAGCCATTTACGTGACCACAATGGATGACCAATGTGATTTTGAAGGCGACGCGTGGTCGGTCACTCCGTGGATGGCCCGTGACGAAAAGCACTCGGACGAATACAAGATGTCCAGAGAAGCAGCCTTGAGCGATGCTGAAAAGGGCCTCTTGGAACAGATTCGCCACAACCAGATTGAGCTTTACAAGACACGTGCGGAAGTTGCCGAGATCTCCTCTTCTCAGCAGAGAGAAGTGCTGCAGCTTCTTGCAGCTTTCGAAGAGTACAAGTACATGCTCAGCGAAGAGCACGAGCAGCGGGGCCGCAAGGACCTGGATGTTAAAACCTTGGAGAAGAAGAAAGACTCGTTGACCTTTGAGAAGCTCAAGCTTTCGAAGCAGCTCAGAAACCACAAGTCGCATAAGCTGATCCACAAGGCCAGTTTGGCCGAGCTACGGTCTCGTGTAGCCAAGCTCGAGGAGAAGAAACAGCATGTTTTGAACCTGGCAGATCTGGAAAAAGCTCGTGTCAAGTCGTCCGTTGATCAGCTCCACAAGGATATCGCTGGACTCAAGGATGACCTTGCAGAGTTTGAGAACCAGGCCAAGCTGCTCAACAGCGACAGAAAGGAGTTGGCTCATCAGGTTAACGTGCTTAAGCCGCTCGTGGATCAATTTACCGTCTTCAACCCCCAGCCTACTGGCGAAACTTCCCCTAATGGATCTCAAGTGAGTCTCACTGCAGTGTTTGAGGTCTTCACTAGAGACTCGCTCTTGACCAAAGGCGGCGCAGAATTGCTCAAGAAAATCACGTCCCTTCAGCCAGATTGGGATGCCGATATCAACCGCGAGTTCGAAGCGCTCACTGCCTTGGAGCTGTCTTGGAAGAATGCTTATCGCAATGTCATTCGTAAGTTTGTCCAAGTCCACAACAATGCTGAGATGACACGGGCTGCAGCAACTCCAGGCTACGTGCCTCAGAAAATTACAGAGTACCAAGCGAGTGTGGAGTTTGGAGGCTTCAGCAATGCTTTGCCAAAACTGAGACCTCCGAAGGTGTACACCTTTGTGGATGAGAATTCGCCTGCGCCTGAGTCGCCAGCATCCGTTCCAGTTTCTCCACCGTTACCAGATTCAGAGAAAATGCCACCGTTCTTCAACCGTGTCAACGAAGAAGATAACAATCTGAGCAGCTTGGGCTCCGAGCCTATGAACAGAGATTTCTCCGACAGAAGAGATCTTCCTGATATCAACGTCAGCAGAGACTACCCTATGGCACAGGGCCAGAGCTTGAACATGCCCTTGATGGCTTCTTCGTCTTCCCTAGCTCAAACTCAGTCTCTCAATCTGAACATCCAGCCTCAACCATTGGGTTACGGCCATCAGCAGAGTTTTTCTCAAAGCAGTCTTCCTCAGTCACAGGTGGGTGCAAACTTGAACCACAGTGTGCCTTTGGAGCCTACCCCTTCGGGAACCCTGATCCAGGCATCGTTACTTGGAAACCATACCCAGAACCAGGACTCCCTCCTGAACTTCCTGTTTCCCCTTCCTAACAACTTACAGCCTGGCATTCAAGACCGGTCCCATTTGACAGGTAATTTGCAAGACTCGTTGCAGCCCAACCTTCAACCATTCTTGTCTGGCCTTCCATACGAAGACCAGATGTATGGAATGAGATCGCCTACTCCGGATCCGCCGGCATTCAACCAGCAGCCGCTTCCTTCGTTGTGGAACACTAATCCCGCAAACAACTCGTCCAATTTCATGAACCAGCGCTTCCCCAACCAGATGTCGCTTTCTCCAGGTCCAATGAACGTCGAGTTGTCTCCATCTCAATCTGTGGTTTCGCAATCTGGAGATACGCTTTTAGACACGCTTTTGCTTTCCAACAACCCGCTGCTTCCTCAAAGCTCGTTGCAGCTGAACATCTGGCTGGACAGGCTCAATCCTGGTCTTGGAAGCCACAATAGGGCTCTTTCTGGAGGAAACCATATTTGGAGAAACGACGTGCACAATGGCACGATCTCTCCTGATTTCCAGCCGTTCCAGTCTCGGCGCAAGGACGGAGACGAAGCGGATGATATTCAGCTGTTATGAGTGAAGATGGGTTCTAGACGAGGAGAGATTACTGAGGTTGGTTATGCGACATGGCTGCGTCTCGCTTCTATCGAGACGACTATTTTTGGCTACCTACAAGAAGAGAACCACCTTCAATGGTTCTTCAGGAGTCTTCTTCTAAAATCATTGGAAATCAAGTACTTTTAAGATTGCGGTTCAAATACTTGTCCTGCCCTGAATGCATCACCAGACGCCAGGTGAGTCAACGGTTCGCATAACAGCTTGGCTGCAAAAAACACAGCATGCGTCAACGTCGCCTGAGCTATCTGGCATACTACCTCCACTGGTCTATGTCCCAAAACCACAAAGCCTCAAACTTGCCCAAAAACTCGTAAACCCAAACGAAGAAGTGGGGAACGTGGCGACGTGGGGGAACTCACGCAACGACAAGACACTTGTTACTACTCCGGCTAATCGCGGCAAGATCTCGGAGCCAGACCCCGAAAAAACGTCCCATGCGCAGTAAGTGGGAGCGAAGGAAATGGCCGCACCAGCCCCTCGCTGGCTGTGGAAAAGCAACTCCGCCTGATTAACTATGGGAAATGCCCCGCTTTTTCCGAGACTTTTTTCTATGAGGCACTTGGCGCAGCTGGCTTCGGCGTTTCAACATGCAGCGCGCTGCAGTTGCTGCAAAAAAAATCGGTCATCGCAGCGTTGCTGAATAAGGGTCTTATAAAAACGACGCTGCGCCCTGGGATCTCGAAATAAAAGAAATGACGATTCTCGAAGACCGTGAAAGGTTGCCCATCCATAATGATTTCCGGAGCGACACGTTTACGTTGCCCACACAACACATGAACGAGGTGGTGCTCGAGAAACTCTCCCAGGGTACCCTCTTGTTGGGTGATTCCGTCTACAAGGAAGATCCATATACATTGGAGCTTGAGCTGAAAATGGCTGAGCTCACAGGCAAAGAGGCGGCTCTTTTTTGCGTTTCCGGTACAATGTCGAACCAGATCGGTCTCCGAGCAGCTTTGCAACAACCCCCATATTCCATCCTCTGTGACCACAGAGCCCATATCTTCTTGCACGAGGCTGGTGGAACGGCAACCTTGTCTCAGGCAATGGTTCACCCGGTCACTCCAGAAAACGGCGACTACTTGACGTTGGACGACATTGTGGAGAACTTCACTCCGGACGACGGCGACATTCACGGTGCTCCCACCAAAGTTATCAGCATGGAGAACACTTTGCACGGTGTTCTCACTCCAATTGAGGAGATCCGCAAGATCAGCGAGTTTGCAAGGTCCCAGGGTATCTGGATGCACCTTGACGGAGCTCGTTTGATCAATGCCAGTGTTGCAACCGGTGTTTCTCTTAAGGAGTACTGCCAGTACTTTGACTCCGTGTCAATCTGTTTATCCAAGTCCTTGGGTGCTCCCATTGGCTCTGTTCTCGTTGGTGAGCGCAAATTCATCGAGAAATCTAATCACTTCAAAAAACAGGCTGGTGGTGGCATACGGCAGGCTGGTATGATGACCCTCATGGCACTCACAGCATTGGAAGACAACTGGGACCACATTTCGATTGCCCACGAGTTTGCCAAGGACGTGGGTGAATTCTGCAAGAAACATGACATTGTGGTTGAATCGCCTGTTGACACGAACTTTGTCTTTATTGACCTCAAGAAGAACAAGATCAACGACGCTGCGCTTGTCAAATTTGGCGAGAAGCACGATGTCAAGCTCATGGGTGGCAGGATTGCGTTCCATTTCCAATTGAGCGAAGAGAGTGTGGAGAACTTGAAGGCGGCCTTGTACGATTGCAAACAGGATGCTTTGAAGAATCCCTTTGAGGGAAGACGCTGCAACAAGCAGATGTACAATGTGGACGTTATCAGGAATCTCCAGGAGCTCAGTGTCGCTTCCAAAAACTAATTAGCATATCAGCATTTGATTCCTGGTGGACCCAGGATCGACCCTCTTTCAATGAAGGCTTTCAGTGATTATTTGTAGTATCAGGTGACTCACGGTGATCACCCACGCGGATCTGCTCTGATCCACGTTTTCGAATTTTACGTAGAAACCAAAAACTACTTTTCTAGAGATGACTCTTGATAGCTTACTAAGTCACCGTCTAGAGCTTATTTTTAGCCTAGACCCCTGGAATCATACTATTTCCTTATCAGCTCTGTGCCTCTAACCTCGTCATGTTTTGACGTTGATGCAGGGTTTATCGATCTTGCTGCTGACCGATGTCGGATAATCTTCCGGAAGAACCAGTGCCCAAGAGGCGGAAAATGCATATCCGCGGAGCACCTTTGCTGTCGGGACCTGCACACAGCACGGAAGACAGCTCGAAATGATTCCAAACCGTCGGTTAGCCGCGTCTATATGCCGTCCGCGCAGCGTAATGCGTTCTCGGAGTAGCCAGAACGGCTGAATGGCTGCAAATCCTAGCACTATATAATCCATGCTTGTTGCCCCTTGATTTTGTCACATCATAAACGATAATGAGCAGTCTGGAATCATTAAGCTCGCTGGACTATGTTCCACAAAAACTTACCGCCGATTCGGAGGAACAGTCCCACAGAAGCATGGACCTTGCTAGGGTTAGAACAGAAACAGCCCAGTCATTAAAGGAGCTCGGTGTGAATGAGGAGGTTCCTCACCAAGATTTCAACTTACCGCCTGTTGAAGATGCCATCTTCCCGGAAGAATACACCCTAGAAACACCCACCGGTTTGGTTCCAGTGGAAAGACTCCAGAGTCTCGGAAGAACCAAACTGAGAGCCAGTCAAGCCACAGCTAGAACGGAACCCAAGGAGCTAGATCCAGAGATCGAGCTTGTCACCTTCCACATAAACGACCCGGAAAACCCCCACAACTGGAATATCTGGCTCAAGTGGTTCTACACCTTCATCTACTCCTGGGCCGTCATTTCTGCTGCTTACGGGTCATCCTCTTTAGCGGGAGGACTAGATCTCATTAGTGAAAAGTACCATGTTTCCAATGAGGTGGCGGTGTTGACGGTGTCGTTGATGGTGATTGGGTTTCTTGTGGGTCCCTTGCTTTGGGCTCCACTTTCGGAACAGATCGGTAGACGTCCAGTGTACTTCATCAGTTTTGGCCTCTACACTTTATTCAATGTTCCTGTGGCGCTTTCGCCTAATATTGGCGGTGTTCTCGCGTGCCGTTTCCTTCTAGGCGTTTTTTCATCTTCTGCCTTGACAAATGTGGGTGCATCTTTGGTGGACATCCACTGTGAAACCAGAGGCATGGCTATTGCTATTTTCTCCTTTTGTCCATACTCTGGTCCCGTGTTTGGCGGTATTGTCAACGGTTTCATTCTGGTCGACACAGGAAGATACGATTTGATGGTGTGGGTGAATATGGCGTTTGCAGGCGTAATGTGGATCGTTATGGCCTTTATTCCTGAAACCTATGCTCCGGTGATTTTGAAGAAAAGGGCCCAGCGCCTCCGGAAAGAAACGGGAAACAACAAGATCATGACTGAACAGGAAGCCACCCCCATGACTTTCTCAGAAATGTTGAACAACAACTTGTACAGACCCGTGAAGTTCTGCTGGCAGGAACCGGTGCTTGTTCTTATTTGTGGTTTTGTTGCGCTTATTTACGCCTTGCTTTATGCTTTTTTCTTCGCATACCCGGTGATTTTTGGTGAGCTTTATGGTTACAAGGACGACAAAATCGGCCTCATGTATGTTCCTATCTTGATAGGTGCTCTTTTCGCTGTCATGGTGACTCCAGCTTTGGAAAGAAGATACTTGGCCATGAGCAAAAGAAGAACTCCAACTCCTGAAGATAGACTTGTGGGTGCCATGATTGGTTCTCCTTTCCCTTGCATCGCTTTGTTCATCTTGGGTGCCACCTCGTATAAGCATATCATCTGGGTTGGTCCCGCATCGTCAGGCATTGCATTTGGCTTTGGAATGGTGTTGATTTACTATTCATTGAACAACTACATCATCGACACCTACGCCAAGTACGCTGCATCGGCTTTGGCGACAAAGGTGTTCTTGAGAAGCGCAGGCGGTGCCGCTTTCCCGTTATTTATCACCCAAATGTACCACACGTTGGGCTTGCAGTGGGCTTCATGGTTGCTTGCGTTCTTGTCGTTGGCCATGATAGTCGTGCCATTCAGCTTTTATAGATTCGGTGGCTCCTTGAGGGCAAAGCTCTGCAAAGAGGATTACTCCGCCAAGCTCGGTTAGCCACCCATGCATTTATAGACTAGCATCGATACCATTTAATGAAGTTTGTGTACAGCATTCATGTGAATATCAGCACTCACATCGAGAGCTCCCTTGGGGGAGTGCTCCACATCTCTAATGAGGTCAGACACCTTGGCCAAATCCACGCCGGTGAGCTTGGCCATGAAGGCGCCAATTTCGATGTTTTCGTGGTTTCCAAGCAAGCCGGTGTAGGGTTCTCTTCTGTAAAGCTGCTTGTCGATTCTCTCGGAGTTGGAGAATGCGTAGATGTTGACATCCACAGCAGAGTGGCCCAGGGTGCTCCAGCCGGTCTGAGAACGTACAGAGATCATGTTGTTGAGCACACCCAACAATCTGTTAGCATCGTTGGCAAACTTCTTCACAGTCTCAATTTCTTCCTTGGTGTGGTCCAAGATACCCATGTCCTGCTCCACAATCTCCTTGGCAATGTAGGACTCCAAAGCTGGACCGTCCAACTCGCTCTGTCTGCTCATCATCTTCTTCACCAAGTACTCGCCAGAGTGACTGCTGTTGAGCAAAACCTCAGGGTACCACAAGTAGTCTGGGTACAGCTCAGTGACCTGTCTGGCTGTAACCAATCCACCGGTCTCGTGGTCAGACGTGGAGATCACCACGGTGTCGGTGTCAGTGTTATCCACAAACTTCATGACCTCCTTCATAGCTTCGTCGTACGCCAACACCTCTCTGACCTGAGCGGCGGGGTCGTTTTGGTGACCGGCATGGTCGATTCTCGAGCCCTCGATCAACAAGAAGAAGCCCTCCTTCGAGTTCTTTGTGGCGTGTGACAACGAGGTAAGCGCCACCTTGACCTGCTCAGCCAACGATGGATACACTTCAGGCTCCCTGTCGATGTCAAATGGAATATCGGTTGGTGCTAAAAGAGAGAGGAGAGGCAACTGGACGTTTCTGCCCTCGTCTAACGCGTCAAACGCCTTTCTGTCACCTGCGTAGCTCCAGCCATTGAGCTGGGCCTCCTCGATCAAGTTTCTATCGTCGCTTCTACAGCCACCGCCCACGGATCTGGGCAAAAAGTGGCATCTTCCTCCGCCAATCATAAGATCGACAGATCTTCCCAAGGGGTACTCGCCCAATTGGTGCTGGGCAATGAGATCCTCCTGGAAACGGTAGTCTGCATGCGAGCTAAAGGCAGCTGGAGTGGCGTCGGTGATTCTAGTAGTCACAACAAGACCAGTGTGCCAGCCCTTCAACTTCAACGCCTCCAAAATGGTGCCGCAGGGGTTCTTCTCTGGGTCAACACCGATAGCTCCGTTGTAGCTCTTCAAGGCACACGAAAACGCGGTGGCACCAGCAGCAGAATCGGTCACAAGGGAGTCGTTGGAGCGTGTTCTGGAGGAACCAATAAGAAGCGAGTCCAACGCCAAAATGTCGTCAATATCAAGCTTATCTCGGTACTGTTTGAAGGAACGGGCAAGCGACAAAGACGCAGGGCCCATTCCGTCGGTGACCATGAAGATGACATTCTGTTTTGGCTTTGCTGAGGTGGAGCATGATAACAGACAGTAGGCTGCAAATCCGGAAACGAGGAGGAAGGCAGTAAGAATGAAACCAAGCAAACTTTGCTTGTTTGAACGCTTTGTTGGTTTCTCATACAAATCCTGCTTCTCGTTGAGAAGCTCTGGATCCTCGGTGGGGAGTTTCTCGTACATGGTGAGGAAGAAGTAGTAAAAGATTGAGTGGGTCTGATAAGAGCCTTAAATAGGCCCGGTGCAGGACATTCTCCAGAAAAAGGCAATCTAAGTACAATCATTGGCCCACCAATGCAGGGTCCACGAGAAAAAATAGTCGTTTTTTAGGGTTTGGGGTCTGGGGCACCGCGTTTTGGGGATTTTTGGAATTTCCTTCTTCTTCTCTATGAATGGGGCATTAGGTGGTGGACGGAATTGCTGCGAAACAGTGCTTCTGTGCTATCAGTCACAGGCAGAGAACATTTAAGAAATAGTTTCCAAAATTTTGATTTGTGGCTCGATTTTGGTTTCTTTTCGTTTTGAGGCGTTCTCCCGCTGTAACAAGCTTTGGGCTGTACCTTCTGTACCTTCTGAAACATGCACACCACTGACCTTCTTCACCAAATAAGCCTAGTCAGATCAACCTAGTCAAATCGGCCTAGTCAAATTCGACCTAGTCAAATTCAACAGAAGGCGCCTCGACAGCATCCAACATGTACTCGGCCATGTAGATGTCCATGATCAGGAGCCCGACGATCTTCGCAACGGTGATTCCGGATTCCGTCTGCGTAGTTCCTTCCACCTTACCGGACAAGTACTCGTTCAAAGAAACAAGGTTTTCCTCCTTCGTGTTGCTTTGCACCAATTCTCCTGCCTCTGCCAAAGCGTGGGCCTTGGAGTCCACAATAAGCTTGACCTTTCCTCTGAAGTTCTTCTCCACAAAAGCCGGGTCAAGCTCGACCATGTGCGGCTTGTACGAGCCAATTAGCGTGATGACCTTCTTTGTGTTGGTTTTCAAGTATTCCAGCTTGATCGTGGGCTCTGTGGATGGAACACAGCCTAAGACTACAGGTGCACTTGCGATTCTGTCTCCCACGCTTTCGTCAGAAAAGCCTAAGGCCTCAAGCTTCACGTCAGAATGCAATTGAAGCTCCTTGCAAAGCTTCAGGGCGCTTTCCTTGGTCCGACTGACCACGGTGACCAAATCAGCTCCATACACCTTCAACACAAGGTAGGCATGCCAGAAGGCCTGGGGCCCAGTTCCAAAAACAACGATACTGTCGAACTTCTCCAGCCTGTCTCCGAACTCCCTATGAACCACCGAAAAACTGGCCAACGCCGTCCGGAACGCAGTGAGTGTTTTGGCATTCACCACACCTTTCAATTGACCGCTCTGGGGGTCCACCACGCCGGTGAATCCTTGAAATCCAAGGCCATTTTGGGAATTGTAGGTGCCCCCACTCATCACCTTAGCCCCCACGCTATTGAGGGCAGCACATGGCATGAACAAGTGGGTGGTATCACAACCGGGGTAGTTGGAAGTAAGAACGGTTCGTGGGGGTACGACGTCCGGGTTAGCGGCATAGTCTGCTAGCGCTTTTTCCAAAACAGGAAGGTAGCCGTTTTCCGCCTGGCGCCTGTTGACGGCCAAAAGGTGTTTCTGGATGACTTTGTCTGAAAGAATCTTCATGGTGATGTTGACTGCGAAATGTGAATTCCGGGGTAGATCAGGTGGTGGTGGGCGAATTCTTTCGAGAGATTTGGATTTTTGATTCTAGGGGCTAATTCGGATAATTTGCTGGTAATTCTTCGAGGGCAATGCTTAAAATTTCTATATAATGGTGTTTTGTGGGCCTTCTGTTGGATAGGTGGGTTTCGTATGGCTGCGAAATCTCGGAGCAGCACGGCTATTTACCGAATCGGACCACCATGGAATGAAGCCACCAAGTTCCGTAGATATATAGTAACTAAGTGATTTCTTAAGGATTTGGAGTCATTTTCAAAGGCTGGAAATTAAATAATAGAAAGGGACGTTGGAAGTTATCAGTTTGGTGGAATACCCGGTGTCCATGTAATCAATAGCTCACCTCTCAGTAATCAAGGGATTTCATGAAATCACATTGGTTCTATAACTTTTTCAGTCATTCCATGGGAGAATTGAGCTGTCAAACTGTGTTGATGTTGCTCAGCGATTATACTTTAGATCAAATCTCCAGGTTATACTCCACATCGATTGTACCTTTCAATGCTACGAACGATCATCAACCAATGTTGAGATTTTGAAGGTATAAAGATGATTTATTTTATTGGTAAGTTCTCTGCTTTCTCAAGAGGACGAGGACGGATACACCTTCACACTCGTGCATTGGTGAACCTGGCTAAGGCTTGATCAATACTGACCCTCTTACGTAGCAGCCTCAAAATAGAGATTTTGTAGCAAATTCACCCAGAGTCATTAGTCATTTTTCTACTCCTTATATCACTACTATTCCTTCCTGACCCCTTTCATGTCTCAACCCACGACTGCGATGTCGACTACATCTTCACCACCCCAACTACATCCCCAACTTCCAATTATATTTATTTTTTTCTTACTTTTTACACTTTTATACAAGCCATCACTCCTCCGACATGCTCTCCCGCCATTGATGCTCCCGTGCCTTATGGGCCAACCATCCGAAATACACCTGGTCCACAAACCTGCTGTATCCCTGAGCAGCCCGGAAACAGGGTCCCTGGGTGTGGCCCACATACCCATCTGGATACTCGTACCTCTTTTGGAATCCGCCCTGGTACTCTGGTGGATTCATACACAAGGGGTACCCCAATTGCTGCTCGACGTACTCTTGGTTGAAGACCTTGTTTTGTTCCTCCTCCTCGGTATAGGGAGGAACGGAGAACAAGTTCCTGGCGCCCTGCCTTTGATGCTCCAACTGCTCCTCGGTGCTAAGATGAGGATTAAGCTCACCGGGCTGGTAGGTGTAATTGGAGTTGCCCTGGTCGGATTCACCAAAAGGCTGCAGATGTGCTTCCTGGCAGTTAGGGTCCTGGAACGACAGGTAGTAGGCGTTGTTAAACTGAGCCAAAGCTTCTTGGTTTCTGGGGCTCACAACAGTAAGGTAACTGTCCTGGTAGGTATTTGGCATTTGGTTGGTGGGTTGGTTTTCAGTGGAGACCTTGCGGTGCTTTGAAGAGCCTGTCTGTTCTTCAGGGTACGACCGCTTTTGTGGTTGGAAGGAGGCGTCAGGGTGGGTTCTAGCCTGGTTGTAGTTTCCAGAATGGTAAGTCTGTCCAGAGTGGTGACCCAGGTTTCCAGAATAGACACTTTCTCCAGAAGGGTGACCCTGCTGCACTTGCCCAGTAGGGTATCCAGAGTACTCCAGTTGCTTTCTGGAGGAGTCATGCTGTTTTCTGGAGGATTCGTGGTGCTTTCTGGAAGTACCTTCGTTTCCTCTGGAGTAGTCCTGGTGCACTCTGGAGTAGTCTTGATGGGGTCTAGAATACTCCTGGTGAGCTCCAGAGTAACCCTCATGCTTTCTGGAGGATTCGCCATGTTTGACCAAATACTCCTTGTGCTTTTTGGAAGACTCGTGCTTTCTGGAAGACTCGTGCTTCCTGGACACCTCAGACTCATGGGTTCTGGAAGTCTTTGCGTGCTTAGACACTGAGCTCGAGACTGAGCCCGATGGAGGTCTCTTTGCAGCAACTGGTCTCTCCACGTGCTTCTCCAAATTCCTAGAACTGCCCTCAACATGCTCCCTCTTCTTCGTCACTCTTGGAGTTTCCTCTTTTCTGTGATCTGTCTTCACCTTAGACTCCGTCTGGGGTCTAGAAGAACTGGAACCCACCGAGGAAGTTCCAAAGAGACTCTTGACTTCCACGCTTTGCGGAGTCACGCTATAATTGCCCTGTGAAGAAGGTACATTCGAGTAATTTCCCTGTGAAGAAGGCACATAGTACTGGCTCTGTGTCTGGTTGGAGTACTGGGTCTGTGGAGCCACATTGTAGTGCTTCTGTGGAGCCGAATACTGAGGAGCGGTTTTTGGCTTCTTCACAGGTTGACTCTGCTGCTTTGAAGCCAGACTTTCACTCTTTTTTGGTCTCTTTTCTGGAACAGCCGGTACCTTTTGCACTGGAGCTGGTTCAGCTGGAGCCTTCTTTGGCTGCGAAACCTCAACAGGCTTACTTTCCAAAGAAGCATCTCCAGAAATGTCAGCCAATTGCTGCTCAGGATCAATTGGAAAATGATCAATGAACTCGTTCAAATCCATGAACGGCGTGGTCATCTGGTCATCGTACTTCAAGTGGTCTGTGGAAGTTTCCAAATTCAGAACCGAGGTTTCTGGCAAAAAGGAGCCCGTAAGGGTGCACTGGTTGGAGGCGTCTTCCAAGGCCAAATCCGGCCATCCGACGTATGGAAGACATGTGTCTGGTTCCGTTGGAGCCGTGGTGGCTGTGGAGTATTCCTTTGAGGTTTCAGTAAACTGCAGATTCTCCGGAGACGACGAGAGCTTTTCCGGGGTGGCCGTGACGGTCGAATGGTTCAATTGGAAGCCGGTGCTCAATGGGGAAATTGGAGCATTTTGGTTTGTTGGGTCGAATTGCTCGTTGTTGAACTGAGGCTCTGGTTGGGTTTCAGGAATATACTGGTACTCCTGGTCGTACTGGTGCTGATCATACTGAATCTCCACACTCTGATAGTCCGAATTCGAAAACACATTCAAATCTTCCCCATTTTGGGGCTCCCCCATAGGCTCAATTTGCTGATCATCGGCCTCTTCGTCTGAATACGCCAGTCTCACATAGTACTGGAGCTTCACAAAATCGGAAACCGTCTGCTCTGATATTTCAGGCTCTGGTGTCTTGGGCGTATTCGCCGGTCCAGTGCATTCGGGATATTCATCAACCCCGTTGTTTTCAAACTCTGGCCTGGCTTCAATGTCGAAAACACGTTGTGGTCTGCCGTAGGTATAGTCGAAATCTTTACCGTAGTAGCTGTTGTCGTTCATGATGGAAGTGATAAGAGAAGTAGGCATTTTTACGGAGAGAAGGCCTCTATTTATGGTAATTCTGGAGATGTGGCTAGCAAAATAATGTGGTACTTGCGTTAATGTGCGTTTGTGATATGTGACCGGAGAGGCCATGTTGGGGTATGAAAGCGAGGGTCTACACTGTCAATATTGGGTCAATTTTGAAGCGGAAAATTGGACGGTGTTGGCAAAATTCTGTAGATTCTTCAACTGTCAAATTGAGCTCTAAAACGTCCTCCGTTGTTTCTTTCAAATCCCCAGCTCCTTTGGGGAGTGTTGATACTCCACATAATTTTCAGAATACACCTCTTAAACGATCAAAATACGGAAACTGCTAGCAATTCTTACAAAATAATTCACCGCCAGCACAGCCTACACCTCCTTCCTACTCTCATTTATTCGTGATTATTCGTATAGTTTCGTGAACGGTGGGGTCACGCCAACGCCATGGCCTCATCAACCTCCAACCCCGTGTGGGCCATCTCCGCCCGCTCCAGCGCTAGATTGCCCATGATAGTGCCCAACTGCTTGTGGGAAGCCCAATTGGGAAACTCTCGCTTGACCAAACTCTCAACAGCGTGAATGAGCGAGTACCCATGTGCCCTGATGGCAACGCTGTCCGAGTCGCTGGCAGAGGCCACCCCTGCCAACTTGTAGCGTATTGAAATTTTCTTTAGCTCTCCAAGGAGCCTAGAGCGGCCTGTCTCGAGCTGCTTGGTGATGGCCGCCTGAGCAGGTTCGCTGACACACAATTGAATGAAGGTCTTCTGCAACGGACTCAAGTCCTCGTGCACTTTAAGCGCCGTTTCTAGAATTGCTCTGTTGTTGTGTGAGGACGACTCCCACATGGTGAGGGTCGACCGTAGGTTGTTTAGGGACTTGACAAAGTGTGTCTCGTTTCTCTCTGGATGAAGCTGGTACTCAAAGTAGAACTTCCAGACGATACGCTCGTAGAACGCCAGCAAAAGACGGCTCTGTATTAGCGGCAAAAACAGGCTCTCAAACTGCTCCCTCAAGATCTTCACAATCATCAACGGCTTGTTCAAGTCGTGGTACTTCTTCATGAGGAGCACGTCAAACTCCACGAAGTTCTGCTGTGTCCAGCCGTTGCGGCAAAACAACGCCCTGTCCAAGTTGTCTATGTTAAACGGTAGCCTGTGGAGCTGCTTCAAGTGTCTGTTAAGGAGAAATCTAGTAAGTAGAGCTAGGGAAAGCTTATTCTGCTGGAGGGACAAGCAGACCAATTCGACAAGTTCATCCTCGCTTTGAAGCGCCGTAACGTGCTTAAGCAAGTTCTTCTCCAGCGCCTTGGATTTAGAGGGCATTTTGGCCGCCGCCGCCTGCAAGTCCATAAGCAAAAAGTTGACCTGCTGAGAGTGGTCGATGGAACTGGGAATAGCCGGTTCGGGAAGAAGTTCACGGCGGATTTCGGCGTAGTTTTCGGTGACATCGCCTTTTTGGAGGTGGCGGAAGATCAGCGGGCGGTAAGCGGAGGCGGACTTGACGTTTTTCTTTGGCAGTAGGAGACCCAAGGCATTGGCCAAAAGCGCTGGGTCTTCTTTCTGGACCAGTCTGGACGAGAAAAGCGTCCGCACGATGTTGCGATTTAGCATGTGGGAGGGGGCTTTTTATATGGTGGTGGTAATTTTTGTGCTGTTTGTGTGTATGTGTGGGTGTTGGGGAATATGCTGATTAGTGTGGTAGTTGATGATTGTAGATAATACGCAGAGCCAATGGAGGTGCACCCGCATAAGCAGGCCATGAGGTCAGGCAGTGTGGAAAGTGGTTTTTTGAAGGAAATGTGATTTTTCGGAAAAAACTCTCCAACGTTTCTTTTGGATCTTTAGGATGGAGATTTTTTTGTTCATTTCCTGAAGGTATACATTTGGGTGTTTTCTGATGGTAATACTTGTTGTACTAGTTGAGCATCTACTATAGCATTCAGTTGTAAGGGAACACTACCTGAGGTAAAGATGAAATTGAAATTCAATAAATCAATTTAGAGGAAAATAGGTTAAATTATGCAATGAAGGAAATTTTGATAAATTATGAGTGACCCACACCAGGCTGAAGATTCATCGTTCCCATGAACACAGAACTTCTTTATGGAAAATGAACCAAATAGACGCGGTCATTTTTCTGACTTTGTCTGCAAAGTCCCTAAAGAAGTCCCTTTTCAATTTCTCTGCTGACTAACCCAACCTCACCTGATCGCCTACAATTCCTTCCAATAAATATGTGATATTCTGTAAATGCAATAACTACCACTCCTGGGTCTTGAGTCCGTACTTGGACTTCTTGGCGCCACGGACGGGGGTGATGCGCTTGGAGCCGCCCTCCAAGAATGAAAACTTGTCTCTTCTCTTCTCCTCGTACTTCTTGATGTACTCCTCCTTCTGCATGGTCAAGCCAATGTCGTCGAGGCCGTTCACAAGACAGTGCTTTCTGAACTGCTCAATGTCGAAATGCTCCACCAAAACCTCGTCGGTCTCGGCGTTACGGATCTGCTGCTGGGGCAAGTCCACCGTGAGGTTCTTGCCGGCAACTGCAAGTGGGTACAACTTCTCCTTGATCACCTCCTGAGGCAATCTGATGGGCAACAAGCCGTTCTTGCACGAGTTGTTGTAGAAAATGTCACCGAACGAAGGAGCAATCATACACTTGATGCCAAAGTCCTTGAGGGCCCAAGGAGCATGCTCACGGGAGGAACCACAGCCAAAGTTGTCACCAGTGACCAACAAGATCTCGGCTTTACGGTAAGGCTCCACGTTGAGGGCAAAGTCGGTTTCCACGTCCTTGCCCTGGGCGTCCTTGTTGAATCTCAACTCGTAGAAAAGACCTTTGCTGAGGCCGGTTCTCTTGATGGTCTTGAGAAACTGCTTGGGGATGATGGCGTCGGTGTCGACGTTAGCCTTGTCCAAAGGCGCCGTGATACCGGAAAGAACGGTGAATTTGTCCATGCCAGCTGGAACTGGCTTCTTGGGGTCCACTGTGAGGGAGGCTTCTTGTTCCTGAGGAACATCGTTGATTCTGTCCTCCTCAAGAGACTCGGAAGATTCAAGAGGCTGCTTTTCGTGGTCGTAAACGGCGTCTTGCAAATCCTGGTCTTCGGGACCGGAGGAGTCGATTTGCATGGCTGGCTCGTCAGAGGTGTCGTATTCCCACTCACGAATATCCGTGAAATGGCCCTTGATAGCAGCAGCAGCAGCCATGGCGGGCGACATCAAGTGGGTTCTAGACTTGGCGCCCTGACGGCCCTCAAAGTTTCTGTTGGAGGTGGAGGCACATCTCTCCTCGGGATCGAGAATATCTGGGTTCATACCCAAACACATGGAGCAACCAGCTTCTCTCCACGAGAAACCAGCAGCCTCGAAAATCTTATCAAGACCTTCCTTCTCGGCCTGGCGCTTCACAAGACCAGAACCTGGCACCACAAGCACCAACTTGACATTGTCAGCCTTCTTGTGGCCCTTGGCGACTCTAGCAGCGTTTCTCAAGTCCTCAATACGGGAGTTTGTGCACGAACCAATAAAGGCCTTGTCGATCTTGATCTCTTCAAGCGGCGTGTTGGGCGTGAGGCCCTGGTAGGCAAGAGCACGCTCCATACCAGCTTTCTTGATAGGGTCTTCCACATTGGCTGGGTCTGGAACCTTGGCGGTGATGGGCAAGGCATCCTGAGGAGAGTTACCCCAGGTGATGGTGGGCACAATGTCGGCGGCGTTGATGTTGATGTCGTAGTCGAAATGGGCGCCTTCGTCGGAATGCAAGGTGCTCCAGTACTTGACGGCCTTTTCCCACTCAGCACCTTTAGGAGCCAAAGGACGGCCCTTCAAGTAGTTGAAAGTGATTTCGTCCGGCTTGATCATACCAGCACGGGCTCCGGCCTCAATGGACATGTTACAGATGGACATACGAGCTTCCATGGAAAGAGCCTCAATAGCAGAACCAGCAAACTCAATCACACTACCGGTACCACCAGCAGTACCAATGACACCAATGACATGCAAAACAAGATCCTTGGAGGTGATGCCCGGCAGCAAGTCACCGTTGACGCTGATTCTCATGTTTTTCGACTTGGCCTGGATAATCGTCTGGGTAGCCAAAACGTGCTCCACCTCAGAGGTACCGATACCAAAGGCCAAGGCACCAAAGGCGCCGTGTGTGGAAGTGTGGGAGTCGCCGCAGACCATCGTCGTGCCGGGAAGCGTGAAGCCCTGCTCTGGGCCAATCACATGGACGATACCCTGACGGTCGTCGGTCATGCCAAAGTAGGTGACACCAAAGTCCTTGACGTTCTGTTCTAGGGTCATCACCTGGAGCTTGGAGTCCTCCTGCTCGACAAACGTCTCGACATTCTTGAAGTTGGTACGGGGCACCGTGGGGATGTTGTGGTCCACGGTGGCCAAAGTGCAATCTGTTCTTCTGACTTTTCTGCTGGCGTTCTTGAGGCCTTCGAAAGCCTGGGGGGACGTCACCTCGTGGACAAGGTGACGGTCGATGTAGAGAAGGTACGAGCCGCTTTCGTCCTTGTGGACAATGTGGTCCTCGAAAACCTTGTCGTAGAGGGTTTTGGGATTGGCAGAAATGGGCATTTTGGTTGTGGAGTAGTAGCGGATCCGGGGCATATATACTGATGACTTTTTCGCGGAGCGGGCCTGAAGCGGGCCGGTACCGGCGGCGGCGCCAGCCAATCCCCGCGCGAGAAATAGTCATCCCGGTGACACCATGAGTCAGACACCGGAAGCGGAGGCCAGAGGAAATGAACAGAAAGAAAAAAGAGTTTGAAGTAGTTCAGGTAAAGCAAAATCCGTTATTTTGGATATTTTCAAAATCTTGGACTTTGCAAATCCGGAGAACTTTGCATTTTGGCAGGTTTGTGCGGCATGACTCAATGGCTGCGAATGGCTGCGAAATAGACCGTGCAGTGGATATTATTGTGGAGAAGTGAAGATCGAGATTTGATGGATTTTGGAAATTTTGGAAGGGGGCCTTTTTGGGACTTTTCGGCGGTTTCGGTGATTCGGCGTTTGCGGTGAAGGCGTTGATTTTGGTTTTTTCCCTTCATGAAGTTCTAAATAGCAGTGGAATGTATGACTCAGTAGGCTTCAGTGGGTGAGTGGAGGGTGACGATTTCTGGAGATAGCGGAAGTCGATAGCTTTGCTTCATTGAAATTTCTGACTACGAATTTTTAGTTGACTTCCTCTGAACGGTTTGAATCGTGTAAATCGATCACGTTCTTTTTGGGTACACATTTCACTTCTTTAACTCCATTACTACATTCGAGTTAGCCAAAAGCAAGGCAGAGACACCGGACGTGGCACTGCAGCTCGGTGGCCCTGTAGTTGTGCCTTTAACCGAATAAGCCCATATCCCCCATTCTTAGGTCGGGCGTGAAGCTTTTTCAGTTGAATGCCTTTGAAAGATTTCAGGATTGCTTATTCAGCTGCTGTAAGTTCCAATCGGGAAATACAATGGACTAGATTTCTAGACGCCGTTTTTGCAGTCACCACCCTACGAACAATAAATCATGAGTTCTCCAAGATCTACAGAGTAGTACTGGCTTGCGTTGAATATACAACAAAGCAGCAGAACAGATTCATTCTGTCATTTTGATCAATACCTGACCAAATCCAACAATTCCACACAATATTCTACTTAACTCAACCCAAAACTGTTTCTTTTCTTTCCTCAATCTCCACATGCCAATCAACGATCATTCCCTGTCTATCGGAGTACCGATACACTCATCCTCGGTGAAAAGAATCTACAATCTCATCCGAGGAATTCCCTAAACCGGCAAGCCCCTGAACCAGGCACCATCAATAATAAAAAAAATACATCCTAACCAATCTCCAAAAACAACCACCCCTACCGTCTCTACCCAGCGATCTGCGGTTTTGCAACCGTTTGACGCACCTTCTCGAACCACCCCTCCTTATCGCCAAAAGCGACTTTTCCCCAGATTTGAAAAATTTCCAAATCTCGTACATCTCTGCAACCGCTTCTCCAGCCTCTCTAAGCGGTATGCCCTTAGACAAACACCGTTCGGCTTGCCCGACATACTGAAGACCGTGAATGGTCCGGGAGGTACAGGTGCATCATATATCAACCAGTCCAACACCACTAACACAGCATGATTCCAGCGGGCCAGAAACGAACGAAAATCCGGGCGCCTCGTAAAATCTCTGTTTTGGGAGGCTCCAACTCGCCTGACTCGCAGGTGGACTACGACTCTTCGTGGGGGCTTTTGGCCAATGCTATAGCTCAGATCCAGCACAAGAACGTACTGAACTTGCTGTACGAACAGCTCTACAGAAAGGCGTACACTCTTGTTTTGAAAAAATTCGGTAAAAGATTGTACAACGATGTTGCCGGCGCCATCGGGGTGCATTTGAGGGAAAGACAGCGTGAATTGGTCAAGATCAGCGAGTCGAGAACGTTCAAGATGACATGGAAAGAGGACTTTTTGAAAGCCGCCGTGACCGAATGGGCCGAGCATTTGCAGCTGATGAAGTTTATTAGCGACGTGTTGATGTACTTGAACCGCGTGTACGTGAAGGAAAGCAGGAAGCTCTTGGTTTACGATATGGGGGTGGTGCTTTTTGACATGAACGTGATTCGCCTCGACAACTTCTTTGTGGGCAACACGCTACTGGAGATTGTCATTGACGAGATCACCAAGGCCAGAAGGGGCCAGGTCATTGTCACCAGACTGTACCTTCAGCAGGTGCTAGCGATGTTTGAGATGCTCTTTCATGACGAACCCAATGTGGCGAATTCCATTCCGGATGCGCCTGTGGGAGATTCGTTTTTCTCTGACCATTTTGAAAAAGCCTTTTTGGAGCTGCTGCAGCAGTTCTACCTGACTTTGGCAGACGAGATCATGCTGCTGATGCTGGGATCAAGGTACTTGGCAGATACGCTCAAGTTCATCAACGACGAGGAAAAACGCATTTCCTTCCTTTTGCCCCAAAAGACGTCCACAAAAGTCGTCCACATGATGAACAACATCCTCATCAAAGAGCGGCTCGACAAAATGGTGCTTCTACCTGCGGCTCAGCAGGGTTTGATGTACTGGTTGGACCCGGTGGTTTCCAGAGTCAAAGACAGCATAAGTCCCACGGGTTCTCTGCACCAGCAAAGTCTCACTGAGCTTCGAACGTTCTATGTTCTTGTGGACCGGGTTGACCCGGACAAGCGTTTGTTGAAGGTGCGTTTGAAGGAAGCCATTGTGAAAACGGGTCTTCAATTCGTGGACTTCATCACCAAACACCTCGAACAGCAACAGCAGCAGCAACAGAATGGCGCTGCCCCTAAGAAGGTGACGGTGAGCACAACCTCTGCTTCATTCGCCACGCTTTGGATCGATATGATTCTCGAGTTCAATGCTCAACTTTCCCAGGCCGTCAAAACGTGTTTCAGCAACGACGCCGAGGTCGCCCACACCATCTACGAAGCGTTCAGAGACTTCATCAATGCATCCAACCAACCTACAAGAAGACTGTCCATTGGTCCGTCCACCAGCGCTCCCGAGTTGCTTTCCGTTTTCATGGATTCCCAAATCAAGCAGCTTGTCAAGCTGTCGGGATCGAAACGTGTGGCCCTGGACAACACCAGTGTGGACGAAACACAGGACTTCTTGCACAAGGCAATCTCGTTCCTTCGATTCATCAAGGATAAAGACGCCTTCGAGGCACACTACGCCAACCACTTTGCCAAGCGGTTTCTCAATTCCAAGGGCTCCTCCTCCATCGTTCTGGGCGTGGATGTCCGTTACAACGGTGACATTGAGGAGCTAGTGATTGCCAAACTCGGGGAAGAGTTGGGAAGCGCTACTATGGAGAAAATCGTCAAGATGAAGAAGGACGTCAAGCTGCTGGGCGACTTGACGATGGAGTGGAAGAACCACGTCAGCTCCCACAAGCTTTCAACGATCGACCTCGAGCTCAAGGTGTGTCATGTTTCAGATTGGCCCAAGAGCATGACAAAGGACTACAAGAGCTTTGCCAATACCAACGGGCAAATCGGCTTCATCTGGCCCACCCTTATACGTGAAACGATCCGCAGCTTCGAAGAATACTGGCTTACAGGTAAGAAAAACGACAACAAGTCGCTCTACTGGTGTCCCAAGTTTGGTCTGATGGATCTTCGTATCACGTACCCTCTGCGGACGTACGACATCAACCTTCTGACGTACGCGGGCGTTATTATGCTTTTATTCGGGCCCCAAACCAGCGACCCGGACGAGGCTCCGTTTGATAATAAAAGAGAGCTCACATACGAAGAGATCCGCGAGCTCACCAACATTCCCGAGGCCGATCTCAAGCGGCAGCTCCAGTCGATTGCCGTGGCGCCTCGGCTGCGTCTTTTGGTGAAAACGCCCATGTCTAAAGAAATCCAAAGTGGTGATCGTTTCCTGCTAAATAGCAAGTTCAAGCTGCCCACCACAAAAGTCAAGGTTCTTACGGTGTCGCTGGGGCTGGCGAAGCTGGAGAAAAAGACAGAAAAGGCAGAGGAGAGCCAGGAGGTGAAGGCCAATATCGAGGAAGGGCGCAAGCATTTGGTGAATGCTGCTGTGGTGAGAATCATGAAATCCCGCCAAACCACGCTGCACAACGAGCTTGTGGCTGAGTTGGTGAAGCAGTTGCACGGCCGTTTCCAGCCGCTGACCGTTCTTATCAAACAGCGTATAGAGGACCTTATCGAGAAGGAATACCTCAAACGAGACCCCGACCAAATGGGGGTATACCACTACATAGCCTAGTGTGCATTAGGTTGCTGGTAGGCTTTGTTTTTTTTCTCGGGCCAAGAGGGATCGGATCGGACCTCAAACGCAGCAAGGGAATTACACCCCGTTGCATCAGGGCCAATTGCATTCGGGATTTTTTGTTTTTGACACAAGCTTTTCCCACGACAACAATGCTGCAGCAGCTTGTCGAAAATCGGCCCAGTCGCGTGGTTCCCGATCGATCCGGCCCGGTTGTCCTGTTTTTTATCTGTCAATGCACAGAAGCCTCGCACAATAAAGTTGATGTTTTTTTACTTGCAGCGCAAGCGTCGTGGTGGGGCATTTTGTGCGTTTACAGGGGCGTTTTTCGCGCCTGCTTGGGCCACTGTTTGGCTTTTTCTGGTGGGCTTGTTCGCGCTGGGCGTGTTGGCCGTGCTCGGTGTGTGCAGGACGAAAAGCTCACCTTTGCTGGCCCAGCATTCGGGAGAGCTGGCGGAGTCGCCACGAGACTTGAAAAAAAAAAAACGGAAAGGGAATAAAAGGCGATTTGGTGCTGGTCTTAAATATTGTTTAGCCACGTCGTGTCCTGCATCTGCAGCCCCCAGGGCGGGCTCTCGACCTTCTATTTTTAGCGCTTCTGGAGCGTTTCGTCTGCCTCACCTGTGTGTGCGCGGGATCGGGCTGAAACATCCATCCATTCTGCCATTTTGGTTGCCCTGCTTCCAGACCTTTTTTGTTTTTAAAACACCAACAACACAAAGAATCCCTCCCTTGATCAGGATAACAGGTTATCGCCGTTCCCACTTTCGCTTCATTTACTTCACGGCTATATTATTGCGCCTCATTCCACCCCGCTGGCTCCTACAGCAAGAATCCCTCTTGTTTGTTTAATCGAAAGCCCTGGTTCCGCTTGCTACCATAACCCCCCTTGGCTCCCTACTTTTTTTTTTATCTGGCACCAAATAGGCCTTTATCCTTCGCTACCCAAGGCCAGGTCTCCAAGCCATGCACCATCCAAACGTATCCTCCAGCTCGCTAAACGACCACAACTTGTACGAAATCTCCATCGGCTCGAGCGCTTTGAAGAAAACCCGCTCAGGCCCCGTCAAACGTGTTGGTCTGATGTCCTCGCTCCCGTCGCTTAGCGAGCTGAAAAGGCCCGGCGAATACTACATTCAAAAGATCTCGCTGTCTTCAGTCAACTTGGCTAAAACGCCGAAAAAGCCTGCCCTGGCCGGCTCAGACAATTTCCGTCCTTACCCTGGTCCATACAGTGCCTCAGACACTTCCAATGCTTCTACTCACTCTGACGACGCCTCCCTGGACGGCTCGTCCCAGTTTGACTGTCCTGACTCCAGGTTGAGCTCCATGACGTCTAACTCGCTATGCTCTAACAGAGGCTCTCACGGGTCCAAGTCAAGTGACAAGCCGCCTTCGGTGGATCTTCCGGAAGACGCCCTGGACGAGGCCCTGGACGAGTTGGGCCAGATGAACTCTTCCATCCTGACCATCACGCTACGCTCCGAAAGCCGTGCTGCCCTGTTCAGTGGTTCCCTGAAACCACTCCCTCAGTTCCCAAGAAGAGAATCTGCCTCAGACTTGTCACAGGCTTCTCGCCCAACTCCTCCCAAGTTGCGGGCCGCCTCGACTTCTAGCATCAACCCCACCAAGACTCAGCCTTCACCTAAACCAAACCTTCATAGAGTCGGCACGCTGACGTCGAATTTCATGTTGACCCGTTCGAAGACAAGGTACTACAACCCTAAAGAAACCAAAGAGCGCAAGGAGCTCCGCAAGAAGGCCTACGATGATAACGACGATGATGATGAGATTTTGCCCAACGACTTGGATTTGGTGTTCAACGTTCCAGTCATCAAGAACCACGCCGAGATTTACATGAGCCGTCGTGGCTCATCTTCCTCCTCGCTTTCTCGGAAGGACCTTGTGAACTCCGATGACGATCGCTTCAACTCCCTTAGCAATGTTGCATCTATGAAACCATGCCCGCTTCCGGGCAGACTCAATCACCCAAATCTTTCTGTTGAGACCTCACTTCCAACCATGGAGGAGCGTGATGAAAACTCGCCGGCCAAGGCAAACGACTCCCAAGTCTTTGACGAATCCGACGAGTTTGACACATCCTTCTCTTTCAATAACGACAGTGAAATCAGTCAGAACATCTCGGACTTTTACAACCAGCGCTCCATGTCTTACTCCAAGATTATCAAGGAGTCAAGAGAACAGCAGATGATCTACAAGCTTCCCAACTACGTCAAGTCCCAGTCCTCTGTGGACGACTTGTCGTTGTTCTCGCCAGAAAAACTTGACGCAGTGGACCAGTCCAGACCAATTCACTTGCCTCCAAAAAGCAGTGGTGAGAAGCTGAGACACAGTAAAGAGTTCCATAAGTTCTTGAGCAATTATGAACTCAACACTAAGTTCCAGAACCAGTCCAGAAAGCGCCTGTGTGAATCTTTTATCTTGAATCAACAAAGCTGGTTTAAGTTGATGGTCACCGTCAATGAGCCCAAGGAATTTGCCAAGAAGCTAACTTACGATCGTGTTAACTTGCGCAAGTTGAATTGGGAATCATTGGTGTCAGACAAGTTCCGCTTCGACTACTTCATGAAGGTTCTTGCTACCAACCTTGGTGCTGACAATACTACCAAAGTCAAGGAGTCCTATGTGAGTCTTGAAGCACGTTACGCTCAGCTTTCCGAGAAGATGATCACCAACAAAAACTTATTGTTTGACCGCATCATCAATGACGCATTGCAAAGACCTCTTTACAAAACGTTTTTGGTAGAGGCAGCTGAATCCAAGGAGTCGATCTTTGATGTCAACCAGTTCAAGCACAACTTCAGACACTTGCTCTACATGAAGTCTTTGTCGGAGGGTGGGCTCAAGAAGCATCACGAGATTTTCTTTATACCCGTTTTCTTGATCTTGTTTCAATCTACCGAATCCGTTGAGGATATTTTTGTTTTGATTGAGATGTTCGATAAGAGTATTCTCACCGATGATGTTATTGCCGATGTCAACAAGTACTTTGGCAGGTTCTCCAACCTAGCACTGTTATCGAGATCAAGCATGCCCTACAAGATTCTCAGCAAGTTCCAATCTTTGCAGGAATTCGAGTATTTGAACTTCACCAGCTTCTTCGACATCATGATCCAATTGAACGATAGATTGCCATTGAGTTTGAGTGCCCCATCAACTCCCATCATTGCACAGGGGGCTTTTGGACCACTCAGCTCTGCAAAACAGTCTGCCGAATTCTCGGAGCAGGACCGCAGTAGCGGACCTAACTCTGTGGAGAGTTTCAGTGAGCTTGATATGAAGTCCAGCTTTTCGCTGTCGTCCTCAATGAGTTTGATCGGCATTTTCTTGCAATTGCTTGTCATTTACTCAAACTCCTCCAAGAGCAAGAACAAGAACATCCTGAAGATGTTCCAAGGATTCCTCCTCACGATCTTCAAGTACTACCACATCAACTGGAACAGCTATGCGGAGCTTGTTCGCTCGAACAAGTCGATCAAGCTCAATAACAGCAGCGACCAAACTTCCAATTTGGAGTCCTTTGTCGACAAGTGGAAGGACATCTTCAACAAAATGTAACGACCTTTACGAACTACTTTCATTCTACACATTTGAATCACCAGCTTCATTTGCACGTTTATAATACACAATAGATCTTACATATCCATGTCCAAGTCAATAGCGTCTGGGTTCTCGTCAGCCTTTTGCTTGATCTCTCCACCTTTTGTTTCTCCTTTGACAAATCCCATTGGGTTGACCTCACTTTTGTTTTGGTCGACTTCAGCGTGTTCTCTGATAAGCTGTCTTTTGAACCTGAGCATTTCTTTGAACGTTTCTTGGTTCCCATGGTCCACTTCGAACCTTTCCCATTTAGACCAAACCTCAGCAAAGAGATGAGACTCGGGATTTCCCAATTGAGCAAAGTGCTTAAAAAGTGAACGAGATCTAACAATTTCCCTCTGAGCAATCTCAAAGTCAATAAAGCGAAGTCCAATGTCGATGATTTGGGGCATGGAGAAATGAGGATCCTCTGCTGCCTTTTGAAACGCAGATCTCATGAGCTCGTGATCCTTGAGTTTGGCTACTCTGGTCAAAAGACTCACCAGGTAATCGTACTTGTCGTCAACAATCTTGTTGAGCTCCAGCTTCTCGTACTTTGTTACCGGGGTTTCGATGGAGGAGTGGAGATACGAAATAGCTCGTTCGAGAATTTTGATGATCTTCAAGGACAGTTCTGTCTTGCTTTCGAAGGCCAAGTACATGTCGAATATTTTCCTCACCAAGTGGCCTGGAAGGGGCGTCAGGAAGCACTGATCGAAATGTTCTCTGATTCGCTCGGTGTTCAGTGACGATTCAAGAAGCTCCGTCAAGTAGACAAGCCAAAGGTCGAATTGAGCGTGAGGAGCCTGGAAATCCTCAAGAGCTTGTTCGTAGAGCATCATGGCACGGTCTCTGGAAACTCGTTCCTTCAAAAAGGCAGCATAGTCGAATATGAGTCCCAAGGTGATCACCTCTAGATCCACCATTTTTTGGTAAGCCCCCTGAAGCTTGTTCCAGACAAACTCGGGCTTGCTTTCGTCCAAAAGCGCTTTGAGCAAATCAATGTAGAATTTCCACAATTCTGTGCATTTAAACAAACGGGTTTTGATGGGCACCTTCGCATGCTGGACCTTGATTTCCTTGTGGTTGGAAGGAATGTGATTGTAGAGAATATCCTCAATGTGCTCCAAAGCAGCGTCATCAGACATCTGTAGAAGTGCCTCAGTCCATGAAATGTGAACCGACGCCAAGTCCTTCACCTCCTTGAATTGCGTGTTTGCAGCCTTTGAGTAGATCAACACGGCAGTATGAACGTCTCCCAGATCGAGATAAATCCGGGCGTATTCATCCCAAATTTCAACCAAGTTTCTCAGACCGGTGGCTTGAAGCGGATTGATGTTCATGATAGCATCAACGAGCGTTTTGATCCGTCCGGCGTTATCACTGCCGAAAATAGATGACCTTTCAAGCCACACATCAACGCTATTTGGGTTAGCCCTGAGTTTAACGTCGTTGATAAAAAACGGCCTTTTTTCAAGAAAGCGATCGAGAATGTCGAGCCGGTTTGCAAGCTCAGAACCATCCAAAGTCTCCAAAATGGAGTCCTCAAAATCAAGGTATGCGTTGAAGGCTGTGACAGCGTCTTTCACACTGGTGGCCACGGAAAGCGCCTGGTTGTAGTAGTGTCTGGCAAGTGGAATTTCTCGATCTTCGTAGTACCTGGCCTTGAGGAGAAGTGTCGGGCTTTTTTGAGACGGCAGACGTAGAATGTAGTCATCCACTAGGAAGTCAAAGAGCTGTGGCTCCAATTCTAGTGTATGGTCACTTTGAAGGACATATTCCGCAAGAGCTTTCGAGGACTCAGGACCCACCTTCTTGAGCCATATGTTCGACCAGATCCGTCGTATTATGTCACTATTCTGGCTTTTTAGCGCAACATCCACCATCTTGTATGCATCGGGCATGTTAGGAATCCCCAAGTCCTTGGCGTATATAGCCTGGGTGTATATTAGAGAGACCGCTGTGTCAGATTCACCAGACCAGGAAGCTCCAGCGTATTCAATGTAGATTCTCCATATATCACCATGGTAGGATTCAGGAACATTGAACAATGCCTCTTCGAACTTCTTCTTCACTAGTGGACACCGTTGATCTAGAAGTAGCTGTAGGTACTTAGTCCATATGCTAGGACTGGTATTGAGTACCTTAATCGCCTTCTCATATGCTGCTTTGAGTTTTGTCTTATTGCTGAAAACCGCCTCAAAGTACGCGTTCCATAGAAGCGTGGATGCTGGAAGTGTAGCTGTGGCTCTATCTAGAATACCAGCTCTGTGATGCTTGTCTGATGTACTTTCAGCATACTCCAACCAAAGCAGCTCGGTGTAGGGATCTTTTGCAATTTGCTGTTCATACAGTAGGTCCTCTTCCTGAAGGATCCACGGCATGGGATTCTGTATAATGAGGAGTTTCTCGAGGAGTATAAAGTGTTGATGGAGTACTCTCTGATGCATCTACTCATCGTGATATGCACACCAACGGGTTTTCCTACTTTGGCGGTAGATTGCTGTGGTGGTAATGTCCTGATGAATTGAGTGGATTTCTATATAGAATTTACAGTCTCTTTCACAATTTTTTGATTTTTGTTTCGTAGAAACACTGTGGAAGTCTACCTGGTCTCATGCATCACCGCACTAACATAAGCATGGGAGCTTACTACATGCATAGAAAGTAAACGAATAGAATAACTTCAAGGTCTACAGTTGCATTTTAATACCTTTTTTTTTTTCTATTTTTTCTATTTTTTTTCTTTTCTTTTTTTATTTTTTTTATATATTAATAATTAACTTCATGATCCTAAAACAAATGGACCATTCAGCACAATGGAGCAAACATAAGCTTCATTAGCATGGGTAACATCAACAAAAAACCGGAAAAATGTTTCTTGGATTTGGTGTGTTCCCACACGGGCCTCGAGGCTCTGACGGCTGGTTCATTCCACAAAGCGAAAGAGTCGGTGGGGAAGTATTCCGACAGATTCTTGGATGTGAGAGCTTTAAAGCCAGAAAAGTCACCAGGTAAAAAGGAGACATTCTCCTTTGGGTAGAATACCTCCAGAGCCTTAAAAAAGTCTCTTGGAAGGTAGGTGACATACTGCTTTTGGGCCAAGGTCAGCATGAAGCATGGGAAGTCGCCGAGCCAATAGACACTGGTGTTCTTGGGCTTCAGCAGTTGGGATTCAGGCTGCTTGGTTTCAAGTTCCAAAACCACGGTTTCAGGTTCTGCCACCTCGGTTTCAGGTACCATAACCTTCTCTTCAGACTGCTCAGGCTGCTCTGGCTGCTTAGGCTCTGGAACATGCTCAGGTTCTGAAACTTGCTCAGGTTCTGAAACTTGCTCAGGCTCAGGCTCTGAAACATGCTCTGGAGCCTTGTGAATGGGTTTCAAGATTTCCACGTTCTCCAGGAACTCAAACACATCCTCTCCATCATCCTCTAGGCGGTCCGACTCATCGTCATCCACCTGGATAAGCATGGTAGAGAATTCGTTACTGTAGTTGGGCAAGTAGTGGCCACGGACCTCGAGCTCCTTGACGTTCCAGTAACGGCGTCTGAACTGCTTGGGGGTAGGAGGCAAGTGAATCTTGGACAATCTCAATTGCTCCTTTGCAGCCTCTTTAGCTTCCTTGGCAGCCTGTTCTGCAAGCTTCTTCTCAGCTTTCTTTGCAGCCTGTTCTGCAAGCTTTGAGGCTTCTTCTGCAAGCTTTGAAGCTTCTTCTGCAAGCTTTTGCTCGGCTTCCTTTACAAGGTTTTGTTCGGCTTCCTTTGCAGCTTCTTCCTTTGTAGCTTCTTCTTTTGCAGCTTCTTCCTTTGCAGCTTGTTCAGCAGCCATTGCAGCTTGGTCAGCTACCATTGCAGCTTCCTTTTCTGCCTTCTTCTCTGCCTTCTTCTCGGCCTGCTTTGCGGCCTTTTCTGCCTGCTTGGCTGCCTTTCTAGCTGCCTTTTCCTCTTGCTTCGCAGCCTTGGAAACCCAGGTTTGGGAAGGTGGAGGACACTCGGAATCCTCCTTGGTTCCAGCTTCCTTCGCATTTGTGGAAACTGGAACGGTCTTCAGAGTCTCGACAAGGAAACTCTGGGAAATTGGGGAAGGTTTTTCTGTGGGAGAAGACACAGAGACCTTTTGGTTTGGAGACTTCTTGGGGGAAGGTGCAGAAACGTTTTTGCTGTTAGAAGCCTTCTTGGGGGAAGTGGTCCTTGGTTTGCAAATAGTAATTTTCATGACCTTCGAGGCCTTCGAAGTACCCACATTGGAAGCCACGGAGGCTTCAGAAATTGGCCTCTTCTCAGAAACTTCTGGAACCGGCTCAACGGTCTCCAGGATGACTGGCTTGAGCTCAGGAGCTGGAGTCTTGTCTCTCTTCATATGCTCCTTCACAAGGCTTTCCTTCTGAGCCCTCTTCCAGTTGTAGCGCTTGAATTGCAGCAATCTGTACTTATAAAACTCCTGGGCTTGGTGCACAGGGTTCCAGGTACACTTTTCCCTGAGGTAGTTGAAGTAATCGAACTCCGCTGCATCCCAAGGAAGGTCAATCACTGCGGTTTCGTGGTCGACCCAAATGGAGCCATTCTTTTCAAAAGTGGCATTTCTGAAGTTCCTGGGGAAATGGACTCCGCAAATTCTGATACACTTTTCGGTACACATTGTTGTCGTTGCTTGTTGTTGTTGCTTGTTGATACTCGTTGATGTCGAAGACTGATAAGCTTAAAGGTTCCAAACTTTTTTGTTCAGAACTGTGGTGGTCAAGTAGATGAAGAAGAAAACAAAAACCGGCGGGAACCACCTCTATTTATGTTCAAACGGATGGCTGGTGGCCCTCCGGTGAAGCTAATGAATGACCGTCAAGGTCATGAAACAGCCATAAATTGACTGGAGTTACCTCTTGGAATTATGAGGATGTGACATCTACGATATTTTTTGCAATTGAGTCATGCCTTTGGCGTGATATTTATCTGCTACACTTGGACCTTCCATAATGGCTGCGAAATCGTCATGCGAGACGCTTATCTTATCGTGCGTTTTCGTCCATCCATCGATACAGAATTGGTGATTTCTTGGGTCATTTTTGTCAGCTAGTCTCTTGATTTGGATGAATTTCCTGGGTAGCTCAATGACGACATTTCGTGGCTTAGTGCTTGCTTCTTTTAGGGACGGATTCAAAATTGCCGTTAAGTGAGATGAATCACTCATTTCATGAATTCTAATCGATAAGTATCCTCATTTTTTGTGAATTCGCTATAGTAGAGAACCTGCCCTCGATGTAGTAGAAGTCCACATTACCTCCAGTGGTTCACCTAATTCAGCTTAACACTTCGTGAAGTCTCATTAATCCACCTCATCCTAAGGAATCTCAATCGAGCCTCTACGTCAGTTGATTTAATCCCTCAAGCTCATCAATTCCTTCTGTAGCTCGATTGAATATTCTACCTACCTGCTCATAATCATACATCCATGCTATCATACGGAAAAACCGCCCTCGAGATGCTCCACAAACTCAGCCAATTTTTATGCCAAATATATGATTAGCAATGCAGAATTTGTCGTTTGCGTTTTGGGAACTAAATACCACATCTATGACGTTCGACAATTCGTGAAATTGAAAGCAATTCCTGACTCCATCAATGAGTTAAGTATCGACCATGTCGTTGAATGGGGGAAGGTAGACCAGAATCTGAGGAGTTTCATATATCTCCATCACATCAACACCCATCGAACTATGAAAAGCCCGTACTCTGACTTTTGACTAAATATCCTGACTCAAATGCTCAAACTGACCAGCCATAGAAACAAGTACAATCAGAACAAGCTTTGTTGCCTCTACCAAATAGAAGATAGATGCCCTTTGCCTTTGCATGACCTTGCCCACTTTAGACCACGGCAACTGATAAAAAATAAACCACCTTCACTTCACCATTTATAAGCCTCAGCTCCCGGGAATCTCAAACTGATCTCTGCTTCAAATCCAAAAATGCCTTCGTTGTTCTTCCTCGAAAAGGGCCCGGTTCCAAAAACCCTTTCTGACGCCGTGGCCCACGAGCTCGAAAACGATCCAGCGAACTACTTCTCCCACGAGACTCACACTGGCTTTATCTACTCCCAACTCTGGACAGTCAGTACTCTAGAGCTCGGCAAAATGGACAGCTCAAGGTACACTTGGTCTGAAGAAAAGGTGGAGAATGCTGACGGTTTGGGATATCCCATCGATGTAAAAGACAAGACCGCAAGGGTCATCTACCTCTTCACCACCTTCAGACAGCTTGACTTCATTCCATATCGAATGGAAAAATTCTGGGACCGTAACACGAAAACAGGACTCCGGTGTCTTCAGGTTGGACCTGTCAAAGTGCCGCTTGAGACTTGTGCCAGCGTCAGACGCCGAAAGATCGACGAAAAGGCAGAAGGTCCAACTTCTCGAATCAACCTTGAAGTCAGGGCTCATTATGTCCCACCCATGCTTGACGAAGTGATGGATCTCGCTTGTAATATTGTACATGAGCGTTCGAAATTGCAGCTGTTTCTTTACCTTGAATTCCGAAAAGTCGGTGCCGGTTTGTGTCCCTGTGGAGAAAGTATAATCTTTGATGGGTTCAAAATTACTCTTGAGGAGCATCGACAAATTATATCCAGACTGGGCGAAAAATGCAATATCAAGAAGGAGGTCCGAAGCGTGATTTTGAAAGAGTCACCTCTCAAAATCCGCCTTGACGTTGACGATTTTCATGGTGATCCTCCCACCTTGATAGGGTACGATGTGTTGTACAACTGCTTTCTTCCCACACTAGGTCCATCCTACTACTCTGCCGAAGAAAGCAGAAGCTACGCCATCAGGTACGATTTTGAGGTACAATGTGGGAATCCCGAAAAGCCCTGTTCCACGCTTTTGTCCGCCACCTTGCCTATACATGTTGGTGTTGAGGAAGAGCAGGCTTTTTTGGCCAGACCCCGATATTTCAAGGTGCAAGACTACTTCCATCTTGAGTATTTTGCCGCCACTCCTCTGCTTGTCGAAGACGTAGTCAAAAAAATCATCACGATATGCTCAGAATTCCCCGATGCATACATTGGTCACCATGTGAGTGTTGTGAACAGAGGCGATAAGGCGGTTGTGATGTTTACTATTGGTCTCGGGGAGGAATTGCCCGAAATAAAACAGTCTTTAGCTGAAAGCAGCGACGATTTGGCGTTGGTTGCAACTCAAGATGGTTGGGTTTTGAAGGAAACAGGGGAACCTCTGCCTATTCAAATCGAGTTTGCATTCTCAAAGCATTTGAAAGTGCTGGACGGCGCCCATTTACACACAATCAAAGTCCCTGAAGAGCCGTTGTGTAACTGTTACAAGGTCAATTCCTTGTACGGTGGTAGCGCCTTTGTCAAACCGGGTATGAGCTTGGACAATTATTTGATTTTTGAGATTTACAGTACCACGAAAAAGGAACTGTTTTATCTGACTTCTGCTTTACATTTATGCATTCTCGAGAAAACAGTTTTCATGTCACCACGGGGCTGTGAGAAGAAGATCAATGCACATAGGTTGTGGCCGCTCAAGAGCTGGAGACCCGTTCTCAGTATTGTCGATGGAAGAAAGGTTGCACTCTATGCGAACATTTTTGAAGGCTTCGAAGTTCCTGACCTTAAACCGTCGGTTCGCTCCTCCACGTTCCATAGAAACTATGAAGTCTACGTGTGTTTCGGTGTTTTTGAAATGTACTGGTTCTCGGGAGCCGAAAACATCTTGCAACAGTGGGTGGATATGTATGTTTGTGAGAAGGACGGCGTTCACTTTGCAGAGATACCCAGACATCCCTAAGATAAAACCCAGTACAATGGCTTTGTTAGATTTTACTCGAGGCAATATCAATCTGTAGAACCTTTGCTGCGTTACGCTAAAGATTGTCTGAATTGTGGGGCCGTGGCCACATTGGGAATTGCCCATTTATCGACCTTATTTTTATTTGAAGAATTAGAAGTAATCACAGATATATAGCGCTCTTATAAGGCCATGATAAATGCTCCATCATGTGGCATATGATACGAGATAAATTATGAAACTAGGATGACCTGTTTGAAACTGAGAAGAAAATCATACATAGCGCAAATTGTGAAGAACGGGTAGACGTTCATTTGCGAAGCTTTGAAACCTTTCATGAGTGCTTGCCTAGCAAGGGTTAAAGTAGCGCATTGACAGAAGACTTTATAGATGTCGGAAACTCTTCTCTAGCGCTTGCAGCCTTTCAATTCAGCTTCTCGCAAACAGCTTGCTTCATCACTTCTACGGTCGGTAATAGGACCCGAACCCCGAGGCACTTGATTACATTTTATAGAGGAGAGTTGTGGTATTTGGTTCTATGGAATCCTTTGGACGCCGGAGCAATACCAGTGAGAGACTAATAATCTCGTGTTGCGGCGGTCCTCAGTAAAAGCCCAAGAGCTCTTTCAGGAATATAATTCGCTGCATTATCGAGAAAAGCTTCCCACCCCTCGCGGAATACCCCTTGCATTCCGATATTTCTTTCCGCGTCATCTTTAATAGCTTTCTTCGTTTCTTCTGCGGCAGCGTAGTACAAAGCTACCGACAACACCGAATAAAGAAAAGGCCATTTGAATGTATCAGAAGCATGAGACAAGCCACACTTGTACCAGGCAATAGGGAACATTACGGCGAGTAGAGCCGCATCCACTGCACCGCTCACTGTCCCTCGCAAAAGGACTTTGTAATGACCACTCCGTCGTATACAAATGATGATAAAAAGAGTGTCACGACCAACGAGCGCTAGTGTAGAAGTAGTGGCTTGATGCGTAAAGAAAGCGCCTATTTTATCCATAATGCTCTCAGACTTGGGCTGTGGCAGGCTGGGGGTAATTGGAGAGCGAATGCTGACCTTCAGAGTACTTCTGGAAGAGGAGGGAGAAGTTGTTGTTGTCGTGGTTGTGACGGAGGTGCTTGGAGTCAAAGTTTGGGGCATAAGAGGCATGTTTGGACTTGTCGTAGGCGTGTTCTCAAACGCATCCCAGTAGGTTGTACGAGAAGTCTCGTGGCTGTAAGGCAAGGCAAATGATTCCGTCAAGAGAGGCAGACCTGACAAATCGCGAGGAGCATTCAGAGTGGAGGGTGCTCCAGACTCCACCGGGGACTCCACCTGAGCATGGCATGAACCATCCAGGAAGCCAACGAAACCCAACATGCCTAAAACCCCGAAACCCCAGACAAAGGAGAAACTTACGGTCAACGTAGTTACTTTGGAGGTTGTAGAATGTTGAAACGGCCTGTTCCAATCGAACAACGCCCATAGCATCTTGGCTTGGGTGCAAAAGAGAGGTGTTGTGGAGATTTCGCAAAATGGTTGCAAATAAATAGCCTTGCGAGTCTCAGTCCAGAAGTAGGGCCCTAGGTAGATATGTCTGTTGAAGGACTTTCCCTCTTTTTTTTTGGTTCATTTCTAAATCGATGAAAGATAAGGCCTTTGTCATTGGCGTTAGTCGATTGCACGAGAGATATCTATCTGGAGCTGGCTGACTTTATACACTGAGCAAATCCATCTGAGAGTATCGAGCTGGCAGCAGCATTGAATACCAGCCAGAATGGTAAGCCATATTCTGACAGGTTCGACAGTCTGATACAAGGCCCACTCAAGAGAGTAGAGCGTCTGGCAAGCTGGTGGCTTGGAATAGCGGCTACAATCGAATCGCTTGATACGACTGTCCTCTTGCAAAAGGCCCAAGTCTTGGAGAATCGAAGGGCCAGAAGGTCAAGCGCATCTCGAACGAGTCTAAAACTTCAATCATCACTACAAGATCTGGTAGCATGAGCTGTTGCAGGAAAAACAACAGAAGTAGCTGTGCAACTAGAAGTGTCACAACCTTCTAAGACATGTACTTTCAATTACTTCGGGCGGAATAGACGAGAAGTGCTTTTCTTGACAGCACGTTAGTCATCAATTGCATTTAAATGTTCCACCAACACAGCATATGAAGCGATGCTTTGGCGAATGACTGGATGGACTCAAAAGATGGGTCCACTACACGAGCAGTAATGTTAGATAAAGGGTCTTCATACCAAATCCTTCCTCTTAGACGCCTGAAACGGGGTTTATGTAATGTCAATGAGCATTTCGTTCAAGCGACGTCTGTGTCCGCTATCACGTCGGTGCACTATAATCGTGTCGCTGTATCAAAGACCCACTGTTACCAATTGAATTCTTGTAGTATGACTCTTCGAAATGCAAATGGCCTTCGCCACTAGAAAATATGTAATTTGATTAGACATAAACCATAGTGATTTGAATCGCATGCAGCTCAGATGGAGAGATTGAGTGAGAATGTAAGAAGGATTCTTTTCTGAACGACAAACCACAACCTCTATATTTGTTTCTTGATAACCGACATTCTCGTAAAGTAGACAGCTCATATACTCTTTCCTTCGAATCTTTGCAGTCGGCATTTCCTTTGGTAGAACGGCTGCAACTTGCATACAAACCCGTACACCTGGTCTTCATCCCTCTGCAAGCCATGGAGAATCTTCTACCTCCCGAAATGACATTGTGTTCCGCTTTATTTATTCGCTCTAGAAATTTCGGCTTCTATTGTTCCACCATGTGGCTGCACTCTCACGGATCTGGGTTAAATGGATCTTGTCCTGGCTTGTATGCAGTACACATAGATCCTAAGGCTCCTATAGTCCAGTGTACCAACGACGAAACGTCCAAAAAAAGTTTCAGCATATCGCCAAGACAGAAGGTGCTCGTAACGCCTGGCAATGGCAGTATTTCCCTGAAACCCGTACACCACGAGTATGGTGACCAAAGTTAGGGGCAGTGGTGAGCCGTACGGCCCGCCTCGAGATCGCCCAAAACCCGTACACCGGCGGTATAGACGTCACCTCCTTTGGCCAAAAACCACCAAACCGGCTCAATTTCAAATCCCATTTTTTCATCAGCAAAAATATGCTGCTGTGTGCGGTCCAGGCTGCAAGTGGAGTATCGGAATCCCCCACATGTCCTGCACACAGTGCACCTCACTATTATGGTCGCTACCTAGATTCAGCGCTAAGGAACAACCTGACCGAATACGCCATACTCCCCGGTGCCCCAAGAGCACGTCTGCCTACACCCAACACAAAGGATATATAAAGCCGTTGAAAGAAAAAAGCAGATAATATATCCGAAAGTCATCCCGTCATGGTGTCGATCTTCCACACCCCTAAGGCAGAATCCTTTCAAGATGAAGACGACCTGATCTGGAAACCGCCTGCTTTTATAGAGGAAGCCGGTCTTCAAGGGCCCTCCAGCGGAACAGGCTCGTCGAACGTCAGTACTTTAAACGGAAGCACCACACCGGGAAAGAAAAGCCGGAGACCGAGATCCATCCTGGTTTCCAGGCTATTGTTCAAGGATCATTCAGAAACCACCGAAGGAGAGTCGCTGTTTGAGGATCGTCGGTCTGGAACACCAGGAGGCATGGGCAAGCTCCGGAGCTTGTTCAAATTCGGCCTGCCTGGGCCGTCTGAAGGTGAAGCGGAAGATCCAGAAAAGACCGACAAGGAGGAGCACACTGAGGCGTCTCCGGAAAAGCACAAATCAAAAGAGGACTCCAACGCATTTTGGAAGTTTAGCTTGGGCCGCAAACGGTCCGTTTCAGCGGCTCAGCCACATACGTTGCAGAACTCTCCAAGAAGCGACAACCAGGAGCAAGAGAGCCCCATGGTGCTGAACAGCTTGTACTTTGCCCACCAGGGCCATCCGCCTCACATGACCAACCAGAATGGAGAAGCCGGGCTCTCGACACAAAACAACCTTGCGGTTTCCTTGAGACACAACGATTCCGTGTTCTCCGTGAACAAGTCTCATCTGCATCTGAGCCAGACCCTGGCGTCCCACGAGACGGAGAAGGAGCTACTGGAAATCAAGGAAGTTGCGCTGACAACCACTCCGGACGAGAAAGTCCCCGCTCTTCAAGAAAGCCCATTGGGTGCTCCTCCATCTGGACCAGGTTTCACTCAACGGACCCTCCGAAGAGTGGCCTCAGCGCCATTGGTTCACAGACTCTTAAACGACAACAAACTGCCGGTTCTTGAGCCTAAGAAAGAGTTTGATGTGAAGGACCATATTGGCGAGCTTTCTGCGGTGAAGAGCAGACCAAGAACTTATACCCAAGGCCGCATGTACTCCCACCTGGCAACTCGTATAATGACGGCCCAGGTTGGCCCGGAGTGCTTCGAGAAAGTCAAGCTTCTAGGTAAGGGCGATGTGGGCAAAGTGTACTTGGTCAAGGAGAAAGCTTCTCTGCGTCTATACGCCATGAAGGTGCTCAACAAAAAGGAGATGATCCAAAGAAACAAAATCAAAAGAGCATTGGCCGAGCAGGAGATCTTGGCCACTAGCAACCACCCGTTTGTCGTGACATTATACCATTCGTTTCAATCGGAAGAGTCGTTATATTTGTGCATGGAGTATTGCATGGGTGGAGAGTTCTTCCGTGCTTTACAGACCAGAGAAACCAAAACGATTGGCGAGGACGATGCTAGGTTCTACGCCGCCGAGGTCACAGCAGCCTTGGAATACTTGCATTTGATGGGTTTTATTTATAGAGATTTGAAGCCCGAAAACATTTTGCTCCACCAGCTGGGGCACATCATGCTCAGTGATTTCGACTTGTCCAAACAGTCTGCCAAAACCAAGGGACCGGAAATTCAATTTGCAAAGTCCCATAACCACAGCAACCCCACCATTGACACCAAAGCATGCATTGACGGGTTCCGGACGAACTCGTTTGTTGGTACCGAGGAGTACATTGCTCCAGAAGTGATTCGTGGAAAGGGCCACACTAGTGCAGTGGATTGGTGGACGCTTGGTATTTTCATTTACGAGATGCTTTATGGAACGACGCCCTTCAAGGGCAGAGACAGGAAAGCCACCTTCAGCAATGTGTTGAAGAAAGACGTTAAGTTCCATGACACGCAGCCTGTGTCGGGAAATTGCAAGAACATGATCAAGAAGCTTTTGATCAAGGATGAAACGAAGCGTCTTGGCTCTAAACTGGGCGCTTCGGACATAAAGTACCATTCTTTTTTCAAGAACACTCAGTGGGCGTTGTTGAGGCATCAGCAGCCGCCCATGATCCCTGTTCTCACCAAGAACAAGAAGGGGGACAACAAAAAACAGGAGGTGTTCTCGCTGGACGAGCCCAGCGGGTCTTCGTCGCAATCCAAGCCTGCTAGCCTGGACCCTGCCAACGACCCATTTGCGCTGTTCAGCTCAGTAACCCTCCACTATAACGAGACAGACGATAACGACCTGGCGTTCATGTTGGGCACCGAGAACTCGGTGAACACCTCTGTGGCCTACACCATGAACAGCCGGCCTGGTGCCAGCTCCAGGCGACAAAAAGGATTCCTTCGCCGGTGATGCTACATGATGCATATACCATAACATGTTACCTATATACCCTGGGCCCCAATTCTCTAACAGCTGATCAACTCGATGATGCTCAAGTGGACCGGCTCACACTGCTCGGCGACGTTCTGGTCGTACAAGTTGTAGAAGTCGCCGGACTTGCACTGGAAGAATTCGGTACCTTCACCCAAGGCCAAAAGACCATCTTGCGTGATGGACCAGCCAGCAGCGTAGATGGAGCCAGCCTGAGGTGGAGGACCATCGAACTGGAATTGTCTGTTGGAGACAATGGCACCAACTCTACCGGCGCCGTCTCTCAAGATGGAGTCTTTCAAGGTCATGGCCAAGTTGTCGTTGCCAATGCAGGCCTGCTGGATACCTGAAGATGGAGCCTCTGTGGCAGCAGCAGCAGCGACATTTTCACTAGTTTGGTGTTGAATCTGGCCATCGCCGATTTGGTTAATGACGGAAGCAGTTTGGTGTTGGATCTGACCATCGCCAATTTGGTTAATAACCGAAGCGGTTTGATGCTGAATTTGACCGTCGCCGATTTGGTTAATGACAGAGGCGGTTTGATGTTGAATTTGACCGTCACCGATCTGGTTAACGACTGAAGCAGTCTGGTGTTGAATTTGACCGTCACCGATCTGGTTCACAACAGAAGCCGTTTGATGCTGAATTTGGCCATCGCCAATTTGGTTGATCACCGAGGCAGTCACGGTGGGTGCTGGAGGAGCCGTCTGATGCTGGATCTGACCGTCTCCGATTTGGTTAATCACCGAAGCGGTTTGATGCTGAATTTGACCGTCTCCAATCTGATTTATCACCGAGGCCGTGGTGGTCGCCGACACTGACTGGTGCTGGATCTGACCGTCTCCAATCTGGTTCACCACTTCCCTTTTGGCAGCCACAGTCTCTGCAGACTTGTCGGAAAGGGTGACAATTTGAATACCAAACTTGGCAGAGTAGTCGGTGGTTCCACTGGGGAAGACACCCTCAGGCTTCAAGTCGGTCCATGGGTCCGAGGGCACATAGGCCGCAAGAGCAGGTGTCAAAAGCGCCAAGACAGTAAGAGAGAAATGCATTGTTGATGAGGAAAAGCCAAGAAGTCGAAGAAGGCCTTGTCTTTATATAGTGCAGCAGATGAGCCAGATCATGACCGGCCGGATCGGGAAATGATGACGGTGGTGCTGGCGATGGGGCCGTTTCTGGCGTTTGCTGGATGAACAATCAGAGCAGTGTAAGCGAGGCGGTAATAATGGCTGCGAAAAATCGCTAAATGCTGGCTAGGGGGGCTGGTTGGAGCTCGCGGACTGCACACAGCGCGGTAGCCCCACGTCACTGCTGTCAAAAGTGTCAATTGGCATAATAGCTGTCAATGCGAGCCAGCCAGGGTGAAGCGGTTATTGCGTGACGTTGTGGGTGCAGTTGCTTGTGGGATTTGGAAAAACTACGTTCTGCGTTCTGATTGGCTGGAAAAGTTCCCCGGAGTTCCGTGAGAAGGGATGTGGCGAGCAATTGTGAAGCGAGACAATAGCAGAGTTTATGGAGCAGTGGCTTAACGCCGGGCGAGTAGGGAAATATGCTGGAAAGTCTAGAGAAATGCAAGGTAGGTCTCAGGGGTCGTGTAGGTGAGGAATTGGCAAATCGAGCCCGGTGGGGAGGGGATCGGAAATCTGGTGATCTTTGGATTCCGCAGCAGGGTCTTGGAGCGTAGAGTATTGTAGATATTAAGGGCCCAAGGCGTTTCAGGCCGTTTCAGACCGTTTCAGAATGCCAGCATCTGTTTCAGATTGTGGCCTCGGCCTCTCGGTGTCGCTTTCCATGGTGGGCTGTTTCAGGGCCGGCTGTTTCACGTTGATATTATCTCGGGTTTAGGCCCAGGGCAGCCCCGGTCATAAAATAAACCCACCGTCGAGGCGAAGGAGTTGTAGAGCCTTTCGGCGTTTGGCTCCAGATCGTCGGTGTTGATTTTCTTAAATAGCACCGAGGGCCCTGTTTGGGGAATAGTCTTTTTTGAGGAATAGTGTTTTTTGAAGATTCATGTTTTGAAAGCGGGTGTTGTTTTAAAAACGGGTATTGTTTCGAATTCGGTGAAGAGCACTGGCTTGTTGAAACACGAATGGGATGTCCATGGATGGTGTGTTTTGAAAAACTGCCCATCTTGGCCAATTTCACCTCACCACAAGTGCATCACGACAACCCACTATCCATGAAGCCTTTGAAAAAAATCCAGAATCTTCAAAAATGACAGAATATTCAAAACCGACGGGAATCACGATTCCATAAAACGCCCAGATTACAAAAAACGCCCAGATTCCATAAAAACACCAGGGACGCCCAGCACGCCCAGGACCCAAGAACCTCCACCTGACTCCATCCAATAACAAGCAAAACAAAGAACCCACCTTCTCCACAGCCCCATTCCCAGCCGCCGCCGCTCAGGGTGCTTCGTAAACGCCCGGTGTATTTTTTAATAAACCCGCCTGAACATTCCCGGCAGTGACGGTGCCGTGACAGTGCCGATTTTTCAGAATTTCCAAAACCCCAAAACCACATGGATTCCATTGACGCTCCCTGAAATCACCTGTGCCCTTCAGCCCCTCGACAAGTTTAAGCTTCCCGCTAGAGCAAGGCACAATGCCCAGCGAAGAGTACCCAGAGAGGAAACGCTGATCAGAGCCATTGAGGTCGATCACTGGCAAATCCAGCGCACAATTGCAGCAGGGGAAGTAAACAGAGGCTGGTTCGACAAGCGCAAGCGTGGGTTACGAGGCCCTGTTTTTGTTTGGCGGGGACAGAGGAATTTGGACAATAACCGGCGGCAGGCCGTTTTGGACGGTTTCTGTTTGAAGCGACTGGGGCTTGGATTCGGTTGGAATGGTGGAAACATTCAGGGATACGGTGGGTGGGCGGTTTGGCTTTGTGGATTTAGTGGAATTTGTTTTGGTGGAATCTCTTTTGTTGTTGCTGATTTGTTGCTTCAGATGCCTAGGGTCTGCCTGGGGAGGTTGGACGATGCAGAATCTTCAGGGGAGAACCACGCAAATCCACATCCACACGGCAAATCCGTAGAAGACCTCAAAAACAATAAAGCAATGCATTTGCTGCCGCTGCCTCGGGTGCACTGGACCTGCTTCACCGATACATGCTTTGTCGGAAATCAGCCGTAATGGAGCGAGCTGATCGGCAGGCAGCCTTCTTCACATGAGGCTGCATCGACGATATTCAAGGACTCCATGGAGACGCCGGGGAGCTCGGCGGGCTTCTAGAAGCCTGGTAGGCGAGATTTGCATCTGAGGGGGGAAACGAAGGAATGGGGTGGATGTTATGGAGAATTGGGGCATTTGGGGAGGCATTGGGGGAGGCATTTGGGGAGGCATTTGGGGATTGACTAATTGGGGATTCTGGAGAATTTCATTATATTGCATGACCAGCTGGGGGGGCTCCCAGGCTGCTGATACGATACTGAATCTAAATCTCCACAAGAAACCCCGAAATTTTAGGGATGCTGCAGAACGCAGGCGGTCGGGGCTGAAGCCGGGGCAATGCCGGAGGTGTGGATTTGCTTAAGCAGGTTTATGCTTGTTCTGACTCCCCGGAGCCGTTGTGGAGGCTTGATGACTGCGTTCTGTGGGTGCAACGGCGGTCAAACCAAAGGGTTTTCAATGTCGGGCGACATTGGGCTGCTGTTTGTGGGGTTTGTGGAAATGTAGAATTTTTTGCAAGCCGTTTGACGGACTTTTGCGTGATATAGCGGTGGCTCTGGCGGTGGATGAAGCGGCAGGTGTTTCATGTGGTTTCACAATACGGCGCCAACGGAGCCACCGGCGCCTCGCCTTTTCTAGACTGTTCTAACAGGCGGGAAAGGTGAAGTCAGCAAATTTACAGCGTCCCAAAAACGGGTCATGTTTTGTGATTTTTCAGTTGCTGTCCGAGTGCCATGGCTAAAACCACGATCAAGGGGCGATGTTTCGATTCAAAAAAGGGCCCCCGGAGGGTGAAACACGCCCACCAACAGTTCCCAGAGACGGGTAAAAATTCTATTTCATAGCGTCAATAGCGGATTCGGGTGTTTCAGCGTGAAACCAGGTATTCCCAAAAAGCAGCGTTGGTGGTGGAGCGGTATCACCAGAAAACCGGGCCATCCAGCCCAACTACAAAACGTGAAACCGACCACACCACAAGCTTTTCAATTGGTAACCCGATTAGCGTGGATCGGTGATCGACGGTTTAATACCTTAGCGACGATGATTTGCCGTGGATTAAGTTTCTACAGTTGGTGAAGGCAGACTAAAAGAGGTGGCTAAGTCCGAGAAAGTCCGAGCGATTTTTGGCGACATTTGCAAAACATGCATTCCACCACCAGCATAAATACAAAAAATAAAAACAGGGCGGCCCGACCGTGGGAGACTTTGTCGCCCGCAAGTGAGTTTGAATCGTATGCCTTTTTTGCAGCTTTCCACTCATGTCGCCTCGAGGCCTGCGTTTGGCGACATTAATTTTTTAGCATTGCAAAAGCGGCGTTAGTCCCGCAGTAAGCCCGCTCCTCCAAAGCCCATGTATGGAAAAACGGCTTGTGGAAGTGGCACCTTAACGAAAACGACCGGGCGTCTTTAATAAAGGCATGTGGAGAGGGAAAAGGGGAAGACAAAAATGGGGAAAAAGAGAAGCATGTTGGGATTCCATACGGCCCGCCACAAAAGAAGTAATTTTGGCAAATCCTTCTGCACCGCTAGCCATTGATTGGTGGAGAGGCCACTACGAAAAAAAACGGACTTCATAAATCTGGGGACGTCACACTTTGTAGAGATTTTTGGATCCGTACATCTAGATTCTTGAATTTAGCCCCTGAACGGGGAACAGCTTACATATGGCAAGGTATTGTGGAGTTGCTTCTTTTTTGTTGGAAAAAAGCGCCCACGGTAATGCCCGCGAATTTGCACCCAATAGTTGGAGTGCGGATTTGTGGTGATGTAGGGGTCGTACACGAATTTTAAAAACACCGTTGTGATCAGGAAAAGCCGGAGATTATGGTAGGCTTCTTTTTTTGGTTGGTTTTGGTCGCTGGCGCCGGCGGGACCGGAGATCCTCGGGAGCGCGGGACCCTGGGTGGTAGAGCCGCATGGTCTTGGACGTCAGGCCGTGGTTCGCCACGCCGTTTGCGACGGGCTCGGAGTGTCACGGGGATCTTGACGAAAATCCGAAATGTGTGGGAAAGTTGGTTTTTTCGAGAAATTAACATACTACGGTGGAAATTGACATTCTAGAAGCTCCCGCTTCCTCGGCTCACGCTGGCTGTAGGTCTGTGTGTGAGGCGTGGGGTGCTAAATAATATTTCGGTGGTTTGTTATGCCTGCGTGGATAAGGTGACGCGGTTGCGAGCGCGCGGCCCACCACGCAGGCTGCGACAGGAGCGTTCCACCGTTATTTTTTTTGACGTGCTGCACGCCTCCGGCTTGAGGAGCGTCCGGCTGCGCAGCCGAAACGCAGCTCTGGGTGATTTCCGGTCATCCGCGGAGACTCACTATGGCCATGCTGCCAGCTTCCAGGCACTATGGCGCCTGCGTACAACCCTTGCCGATCGTTCTCGAGCCTCCAGTATGCGATGCACGCTGCGTGCTGCAGACGCAGACGCAGGCAGGTTGCGAGTCGCATGCACTACCTGCATAATGCCTGTCTCTCAATTTTTTTTTTTTTTTTTTTTTTTTGGCCTGCTTTCGCTTTCCCACCTCACCAACCCTGCTCTCAAGCCTCACCCCCCGGGACACCACCAGAATTATCCCTCCCCCAGCAGCGCCTGACGCACGCTGCATGCGGCTGCAACGCACCTCGCACATCAACTCTCACCGACTCGTGCCCCTCATGCGTCTGCAACCACCAAAACCCCAACTATATATACATGCCCTCACCCCCCGGCCTAGCAGAAAATCAACGTACCCTTTATTTTCAACCCTTTTTCCTTCTAATCCTCACTCCCCAAATAAAGGCCAACTGGGCATGCCTCATCACTGATCGTCACCCCGTCCCAATTCCTCCAACCTTCCTACCCAGACTTCCCCCCACACACAAGATTCCACTATACTGCTCCCGCAAACATATGCCCACGGGCACGGCCAGGCCCAGCCCCAGGCTACTGGAGAAGGGTTCCAAAACAACACATATATGGAACCGCTCCTCGACGAAATGCCCTATCCCAATCGCCTGGGGCATGACCGCCCGGCCGTCTACCAAAACTACCGTAACCCGGACTCGTCTTCTCACAGCTTGAATCCGACGCTAAACAGCCAGGTGGCGGATCTGGGGCCTTCTCAGTTGCATCCGGGCAATTTGCCCCATATGGCGCCCGGCGTGCTCCACAATGCGCCGCCTGGCAGTCTTGAAGGCCTGCTGACGCCGACCCTGGCGCCCAATTCAAACAATAACATGCCCAATGCCTTGGGCCAATCCAGCATGGGTGGTGCTGCCGACATGGCCAGCGTGCCCAACAACAGCAATAACTCGGCGGCTGCCAACAACTCATCGGCACAAAACAACAACAACAATACGGCGTCGCTCCACAACACAACCAACCCGCCCAGCGTGACGGGCGCTTCCTCGCATGCTCCTCCGTCGAGCTCCTCCAGCGGCCTCAATAGCTCCAATAGCATGCCGCTACCGGCAAACCCAACCAACCCCATGAGTCTCCAGAGCCTCCCGGGCCCTGTTCCTGGCGCACTTCCCAACCCCAATGTGCCCCAGATGGGCTACTACGAAGAAGGCGCTTTTCCCGCTGTCTACGAGCCCCAGCCGCTCTACAGACCGTACGAGTACTACCACAACGGGCCGCAGGCGGCCGGCTCTTCGTCTGTTTCGGGGCCTCTGCTGTTTCACAATTCGTCGCTGGTGCTTCTGGCGACGCTGCAGCCTTCGTCCAATTCGTCATACATCAAGAACGAAATGTACATGCCTCAGAGTTACCAGGGCCAGCAGCTGCCGGGCTACAATTACCAGCAGTACCCGTACCGCCAGAGCTCGTCCTTCAGTGGCTACTCCAACACGGCGCCGCCGCCTGAAACGGGCCGCAACCGCTGTCCCGTGTGCCACAAGGTGTTCAAGAGGCCGTCGTCGTTGCAGATACACTTTTACATACACACGGGCGTGAAAATGTTCAAATGCGAGTGGGAGGGCTGTGGCCGGATGTTCAATGTCAAGTCGAACATGAAGCGCCACTACCGCTTGCACTTGAAGCGGGAGGAGGAGAAGCGTCTAGCTGAACAGTAGCTGGGCGTGGCCCCCCTTCCTCATCTTAATTCTACACTAGCCAAATCATAACGTGAGTCTACACCTTCCCCGGTTGCAAGATTCTCTTTCTGCATTGTTGTTATTTATCGTACGATAGAGCCCACCTCCACCTTTTGGGCCCGCCCTAATTGCTAATCTGGCTTGCCGACATTCCATGCTGCCCATGGCTTTAATTCCCCCAGTGTCATGGATCATTCACAAGAGCCGTTGCCCAGCTCCTAACAAACACAGCTGGCTTTGGGGCCTCTACCTAACGAACAATCAAACCGCCGCATGCGTGCCTCTTATTGCCGAAACTGCAATGCCATGCTGCTTACAAAGACATTCTTCAGACAACCACACGGGTATTGTCTTTTCAGGCGCCAGCGCTTTGGTGAGGTGCATTCCTAGCTGATCGTTGTGGTGGCAGGTGCATTGGACCGTGGGCTAGCGGCTGAGTCGATAAAGGAATGCCTGCTTGGTGTGAATGCTCCTGGAAAAGCGCAATATTGTGTTTTGTGCTTATCAATGGTGGCTACGATCGGAGCCTCCAAAGTGCTAACGCTCTTCAAGGCGGGCCTGGCGAAGTTTCGATTAGCTCTTTGTGCTTTGTGCCATAGTGGCTGAGGCAGCGTGATCGCTTGTAACCGTCCACCCTGTCGGGCCCTGTCGGCCCAGTTTCTGCCCCACCTTTGGAAGCACCACAGCAGCACTTGTCAACATAAGCGATGCTCCGGAAGTGTCGTAAGATGGAAGTGGGTAGGCCTAGGCTGAGGGCCCCAATGTCATAATTGTTCCTGTTTGCCCAGCAGCCCACATTGGTGCCTGGCTAGACGAGGCATGGTGGTTTACGTGCTGCTTTGGGTTGTTTTTGGAAAAAAAAAACGCATATAGAAGACAATGTGAGCCGCCAACATTGGGATCGTCGCCTGGCATAGAGGTCCCGGAAAAAGGCGGTTCAGCAAATAAACAAAGGTGTCATGGAATTGGACAAAAGAAGTAGATGGTGGAAAGGAAAAAATAACATTTGTTGATGGGCTTCCTGGCATTAGAGCTCATTGAGAAGATGAGGTGCATTTTCTTGTCCATACAATCCGACTTTGATGATTCCGACAGTGTGAAGGTTATTGATGCTGGCTTAGCTTCCCGGGCTCAAGCTTTTTCGTTTTCTTGGATCATTTGGTGAAAAAGAATTTAGGTTATCTGAAGTTTGTTTAAGAGCGAGGATGAAAAAGAAGAAAATGAAAACAAAAACGCTGTTAGCGCCGAAGGTTAAACGAGGCCAGGGCAGGGCAAAACAGCCTTTTTTTAATTGACTGCTGAAACAAAGGAGTTTTGTGATTTTGGCCTGTGAAAGAGACTCTAATGGAAAACTGTGCCATGGATTGTTTACTTTAGGGCACAAGACTAAAAGCGTATTTTTGCTGAGCCATTTTGTTGCCATTAAACGGCGCAATTTCGTATCGTGACTGGGAATTATCCTTTCCATTTGGATTATCGAATGATTGGTCATACATGTAAAAAAGGTTATAAGAAAGGGACATTTGGGGTTTTGGTGAATTGCGGAAAATGTGAGGCTGTCGAAAGGGCTTCCCTTCGTCCAGAGTCACGACTTTGTAGAAAAATAAAAAGCAAAGAAAACCCAGAAAAGAAGCTTCCACGCTTCTGCTGGAGGTGATTCGATTCGACAGAGGCTTGGCTGGAGGTAATTATTCGTGGGATTTACAGAAAAATTGCTTGGAGAAGTTGTTTTTGCAAATGTAACATGAGCCATCTGGGTGACCGGAGGCGGTTGAGGCCGGAAGTGAAGCCAATTCGAGGGCAGGCGGTCGGTTCTGAAGAGGGGCACGCCGATGCACGGTGCGTCAGGGCGCAGGCGGGTGAGGCAGAGGGTCTCCTGGCGCAGGTTGGCAGACTGCGATGTGCGTGCGGCGTGCACCCCATACCTGCGATGCGCTGTTGGGCGCACATCTTGACGCACGTCTGGGATGCAAGATGTGGGTTGTGTGCAGGCAGCAGAAATTGTTCTTTGAAGCAGCGAACACGGCCCTGACGAGAAATCCGCATTGGGCTAAACGTGCAGCCTCGTAAAAAACCAAAAAGAGCATTGCTCTTCAGCAATAGAAGCTTCTGTGGGGCAGAAAAAGAAAGAACCCCCTTCCATTTGCAACCTCTTCAGCCATTAAGACCCTTTCACGCCTAGCGGCTATTATAAAGCACGGTCGCTCGGAGATCACTTTTCCTCTCCCCGAGTGCCTCCCAGCGGTTTATTATTTAGCCTCTGGCACCTCCAGGCGATCTGCCGTGGGAATGTAGCCCAAAACGGGTATAACCCCGAGTCCCTTGGCGTTATGACCGCTGGTGTTTCTGGTTTCATGGAAGCACGGTTGGAGAGTCAGAACCGCAACACATTTTTACGGTAGAGAATGAAGAAAAATGTGATTTTCGTTTAGGCTTCGAGATTTGCAAACAAGAGGGTCTAGACGAGGAGGATCAGGCGTGCTAGGGTGAGGTGTGTCGATCGTCGTAGGGGCAGTTTTTTTTCGTTTATTGTAGTTGTTGTGGGTTCCCCGTTGTGGATTTCGCTTTGTGGTTTTTTCGAAATTGCTTTATGAGTTTTGCTTTCCTGTAATTTTGAATGGGGATCCTGTGATTGGGACGATTTTGTGGCTGTGGGGTGGATTTAATAAAATGGGTGGAAGAGTGGGTGAGTTTGAAATTGGGATTTGGGAGCAGCAGGGCCGAATATCAACGTTTTTGATTTGCTTTGCGTGAGGTTGGTTGAGTTTTGTGATGGCGGGCTGTTTAGTGGATGAAGGGCTGTTTTGAAGATGTGGTTTGGAGGTTAGGAATTTTGGGGTTCTCTTGAATTCACGAAAAGCGGGTTTCACCATGTCAAATTTTTTTTGAAGCGATGGTGGGAAACATGGAAGGCTATGGATGGTTTTTGGGCTCCAAAAAGCTTTATAGTGCCACTTTGTTGTTTGAAGAATAAAAAAACGATGCCTTTTCACCACACGTTTTCAACCAGCAATCATATGAAGAGCCCTAGGAGCCCAATTCCACCTCCCAACGGCCCCACGGCCCAATGTCCCGAACCCGCCGATGCAGCAAGCCATGAAGCAATTGCATTTGGTGGAATTTCTACAATTCAAAAAAAAAAATACGACTAATCCATCCATCAAAACCACCACCAAGTCACCCACCAAAACCAACTATTACCTTAATACTTGTCCCACTGCCGCCCCAACAAAGCACCCCCAAAACCGTCCTGCAATACGACGCCAGCTCTAAAAACCCCAGAAAATAGAAGGATCCAATTCCAGCGATCCACACCGATCGGACCCACTGCTTCACCTGGTTGCTCTAATCCATGCCATGCAGCCCCACCGATGTAAGCGGAGCTGCTTACCAAATGGCAAGTTGCGTTTTGGTGACAGACTCTTGAAATAAGAAAATTGTATGGAATGCTGCTTCATGCTGCTATGCTGCTTCATCATATGCTTCACCTCCATCGACTCAATCGTCTCGATCAAAGCAATCTAAAAGTTCTCCAAATCACCACCCACTGCACCTTCATCAAGCTTGCCTGATCACCTTTGCATTAGGGCGCCTTGGATGGTTCTGCGGCGTGTGTCGAAACCAGGCATAAGTCGAAAATACTGCAAGCCAAGGCCATGTTACGAAACACACCGCACGAAATGGCATGCAAATTATCTGGCAAACAATTAATATTTTTTTTTTTTTTTTGGCGCCCCGAGCAAGTTTAGGGTATTTTGCCACGGCAGGGTCCGATCGGCGTTTGCGTTATCGTTCCGGATAATATGCCTCGGAAAAAGCTCAGCAGAGGGCCGCCGGAGGTTGACGTCCAGGAGTACGAAGCTGGTGATGCTGGGGCTAAATGCAACGTTGCATTTTGGTTTTTTTTTTTTTTTTTTGCAATGTCTATTAAAAACGCTTCACTGTTTGCGTCTCCATGGTGGCTGAAGCTTCCACCGCTTCCAGGCTTCTAGAAGCTGCGGAGAACCCCAGCGGAACCCCGGTCATACGGAGCAACTTCAAAAGGTGGCTTCAATCGTACGTTTTTCTTTGGCCTACTTGCCCCGGATTACCGTTTTTGGTTTCTCGCCTCGAGGCGGGGCCAAGACATGAACCACAGTCGCCATGTGGTGTTGCGAGGTGTTTTCTTGATAATAATGGAGCTGGCGGTTTGGTCTTTTGGGAAGTGGTGCTGCGTTGGTTCTACAATTTGTTGATTTTAGTAAAGTCCAAAAAAGGCCTCTTTCAAATCCCGTAAGTGGTCCCCCTTATGTAAGCGACCGGTGGTGGGGTCTGCCACTGGTGAGGCTGGTGATGCCTGTGATGCCGTTCCCAAAAGGGTAACCCGAGATCCAGCTCCAGGGCTCGATATTATCAAAGTCACGCCTCTCGAGGCTTGTGCCGATTGTGTATATGCTTCGGTGCACAGTGGTGAGACATGGAAGCCACAGATAATGTGGTGCTACGGAATATTATCGGTGCAATGTCGTCCCTTCTTTACTGTATTATTAAAGCTGTTTATGACTAGGCCGGCCTCCCCTCGTATTACCCTCTCTAGAGGGCATGCACGCTGCAGTCGAGAGAAGTCCGTTATTTAATGTATCAGCAGTGATGCTACAGGCTCGGTAGACGAGCTCGTGCAGAGAACATTTCATGTTGGCCATGCGCCCTGGTCCCACCGGACGCAGTATGATGATTGTTTTTGCAGCCACGCACCATCCTGGAATCCCACTACACAAATAATATATCGTGTTGCGCAGCGCCGCCGCACCTGCTACCACATCGCCATAACAAAATATTACTGCCATGCTTGCAGACCCCATGCACAGGCGGCACCGAGGACATCCGCTTTCTCCTGCCCTGCGCATGCCGGATAACCGGATCTGTACTGCTGCTGGTCTACGTACTGCATACAGCACGGGCCCTCCCGATGCCTTTTCTTCGGCCTACCCTAGCAAGCCTTTCAACCTGAAACAAGCATAATAGGGTCCTCAGCCCACGACGCCGCAGACCGGCCTACAAAGGATACACACCTCGCACCAAGGTTAAGACATCCGTACACCAGGCTCACTCTCTCAACTCTCTCAACTCTCACTCTCAGAGCTTTTCAAGATTTCTCGATTTTCCTGCATACACGTCCTGACCAACCATAGCGCTCACAAAAAAATCATAAACCCTCCTACTCAAGCAAATATCCTGAAATGGCTGCCCACAACCTCGCCAAATTCATCCGTCACGCTGCCGTGAGCAAGCCTCACGTGAAGCCCGAGCAGTACTGGGGCGCCAAGATCTTGGGCGCCACCATGTGGTTCTGGATCTTCTACAGAGTCAAGAACGACTTCATCGAGGGCTCCCACTAATTCTGCATTGTACCATACGAATAAACGAGAAAAGAGAAAACCCGATGTAGCGGGAGGTTTTGGTTGGTGATTTGTTGATTTGTTGATTTGATATTTTGAGTTATCGCTTTGGGTTGTCTATGAGTGTGCATCGATTCAATGCAAGAGTACCCATATTCCAGTGGTATTGAGCAGTGTGTTGAAAATGATAAATTTTCATTATTTTCCCCATCGCTCCACTGTCCCATCGCCTCATCCATCAACCCGAATCTTCCAACCCAGCTACCTCCACCATATACTCTCTCCTACACCTCCGTCATATACTATCTCTTCTATATACTTTCAACTAGTTTCCGTTGCGGCCGCTTGGGTCCTCGCAGCTTGTCCATTTCCGTGTTTCCGAATCCCTTTTTCAATTCCACTCACGTCTTCTGCTCCCCTCGACTCTCACCTAAACCTGTGGATACCTTCCACGGCGCCGGGTGACCTTGGTTTTGCTGCGGCTCTTGAAATCCTTATAGGTGCTGTTCAAAAGGTCCTTGGTCTGCCTAAGCGCATCGTCGTCCTCTTCCTCGTACTCCTCTCTCTGGAAATTGAAGCCTGAACTGTTGCAGTGCTCCAAGGCAAGATTGCCGTTTTTCTTGAGACGAAAAATCACAAGATTGTAGTCCACCTCGTCGTCGTCGTCGTCCTTGATTATGTAGTCGCAGAGATTGAAATGCCACAAGTTGTAGTACGCTGCAAAGTACATGTCGTTGACCTTTTTGAGTGTCTGCTTGCTCATATCAATATCGTCCTCATCCTCGTCCTCGTCATACAACGTGAGACGAACGATTTTCTCTGTAGAGTCGCTTATCGTTATAGGAATCTTGTCAAACACCGATAATCCAAGCTCGACCAATTTCTGGAGATCTGGATGTGACCGTTCAAGCACCCGTGCAACGTCGTCCTTGATTATCACCCAGAGCTCACCCAAAATCATCCGTAGACGGGAAAACTTCAGCCTGTAATTTTCAATGTACCCAGCCAGACCGCCCATGGAATCCACAAAACTCATGCCGTTGCCGGAAACAGGGTACCTGAAATGGAGACCCTGCGATATCGTGTAGTCAGCTCCGGTCATAATCGCCACATGTTCCAAAAGCGGGTTCTTCATCACGGGCGAATGGGACACAAACACGTTGATGGCCTTTTCCTCCAAACGGTCCATGTGCACAAACAACTGGGCCACCTGAGCCAAGGTAATCCACAAATCACCAACTTTCCCCGCCACAGAACTAAGTCCAAGCTTGCCGTTGTCAAAAAGACTGTGCACCTTCAAGTTTCCGCCGAGTCCGTAGAGCCGGATGGGCGGTTTATCGGGAGATTCCAAGAGGTAGCTGTGGTTATGGTCGATGATATTCAAGTTTGGGATCCGCAAAGAGCCGTCCACGAACTTCTCCACCAAGTACGGATCGTCAAGAGGACCAATTGTGGTGTATAAAGGACACGGAAGGCGTTTTTGTCCCGCCAAGTACTCGTCCATATGGACCAACGGCGCATCCAGAAGAAGCTTCAGCTTGAATTCCGCCAAAACCAGGTTTGCCGTGCCCAAATCCTGGGCGTTGTTGATTGTCAGCAAGTCGTTTAGCTCTGCCACGACATTTTTCGGCAAAAGCTCCAGAAACGCCACGATCTGCTTGAGGTAGTTCACGTCAGAAGCCTGTTCAACGGTGCTGGAGTTCCATAGACCGATGTTGCCTGTGTGCACCACGGCCTCGACGTTCGGATGAGCGGAAACGATTTCTTCAAGAGCGTCCCAGTTGCCCTGGAGGTCACTCACCGCTAGAATCCGCATGGTGGTTGCAAAATATGAGTGGTTGCAAATCGGCTATAGTGGTTATCAAGTGCGACCGTAGCGGTAGTGGCAGCACGTGATGCGAGGTCCAGAATCGGGTGTTCGATCGTGGAATGGTCGACAGGTGGGGGGTGTTGGAAGGTGAAAATGATGATTTGTTACTTTTAGGAGATGAAGATAGTGGTGGGTGTGCTGTTGTTTGAGTGGTGGTGGAAAGTCGGTGTGCATCGATGCTGTGATTGGCTGGATATGGAAGATGGTGATCTAGTGATTTTCATTTATACTTTAGAGATAAAAGATTGGTTAGTTTTCAGTAATTTGGAGGGGAAGCTGGAGTTTGGGTGGTGGATGGCTTGTACTGCGTTGTGGTTGAGGAGTGATCATTGGACATGCTGTTATAGGTACAGGCTCAGATTCTGGGGTAGCTATAAGTAAATGGCATTTGACGACAACAAATGGAAGCTTTTCTTGTTTTTCATATTTTTTTACGATTCTAGAAAATAAGCAGCTGTCTGTTTTGGTTCTTGTGCCTTGGTGGAAGCAAGAATGGTAGGTGTAGACTACTATCATTCAACTGGTGCTACAAACTACCCCTCTTCAATTAAACTACTAATTTTCTCTGTAGTGGAACTCCCATTACAGCTAAATTATACAGCACCTTCCATTTGTGGAGTTCCGTTAAAATCGGACTTTTGCAACCACTGGTGCGGCGTCCTCGAGCACCACCCGATAAATCTCCCTACACCCCTTCAATTTTTCCAAAATCCACCCTGTAGCCTTCCCCACCCCTTAAAAAGCTTTATGGACATCATTTTCCTTCTCACTCAACGCCTTCTCTTTTTTGCGCCGATATTCCCATTTTGACACATTTCGGTGCGTCTGTGCGGATCCACCAATTTATTACCAAATTCACCAAACTACAAAACAGACAACTGAAAAAAATCATTTTCATCCAAACAAAAAGACACTTTCCCTAGGCAACCCGGAAAAAGAAACGGCACCTTCCACACGGTCTCATTCATGCCTCCTCGCTACTGTGAGTGAAGCCTTTCCCTCTAAGCCTCACTAGCCGCCATGCCGCAACAATGGCAGAATCCCATATTTAAACTCCACCAGAATCACCGTTTGAAAATTCTTCAAAACAGTCAATTTTCCAAAATCACCATTTCCATAGTCCCACCTCCGAACACGGTTTTCCTATATACATGGCCGTCCGTCCCCTGAGTAGCCGTGCGAGGAAATCCCCCAATTTGTCCCCACCACAATCCCAAAAAACCCCAAAAAACAAGCCATCCCCCAATTGAGCCAACCACTGACTATTCTGAAAATTTCATGCCAAAAAACCCGGCTCCCCCCGTCCCTCCCTCCCACAATAAATGTCACTCCTACATATAGCCCGCTGTGCCGGCTTCCATGCCTTATCATCACCAACTACTCTTCAACAAACCAGCCGTTCTTCCCGAAAAACAGGCGTGCCTGCCCAACATCCACCCCCTTATCTCCGGATCATGCGTGACCCGCCCGAACGGCTTCGAAAAGCCGTCATTGACGGGAACTTGCCCATCACCAAAAGGCTCCTAGCCAGGTTCCCGGAGCTCTGGCTCAATACCGATCCAGAGAACAATGGCTGGTGCAATTTGCATTATGCCTCCTTCAGGGGCAACTACCTCGTGTGCTTCCACCTCATGCTGTTGAAGAAGAGAGCGTTTTTGGATAACCTGGACTCCGACATGGTCACTTTTGATAACTTGACCGTGCTCCACATGCCCGTGTTCCACCACCACCTGCAAACGCTACACTACCTTTTGCAGGAGTTTTCCGGCCACCCGTGGATCAACCATAAAGGCGGCGAATTGGGCCGAACCCCTCTACATTACTGCTGTGTTCATTCTTTCACCGACGGACTTAAGTTGCTACTTGAGTTTGGCGCAGACTGGAAGATGCTGGACCACAACGGCGACACGTGTCTACATTTGTGCTTTTCCTACGGCGACGCGTCCGGCTTGCGGGAATTGGTCAAGTGCATTGTGGGCAAGTGCTATAGAACGCTTCAGGCCGCGGTAGGTCAGCCTCAGTTTTCCGGCAAGGAGGCCGTTTTGGCGGAATTGGAGGAATTCGAGGCCATCAAGAACAAACACGGCTTCAAGGCCATTGACTATGCTGCGTCGTTTGAGCTCCAGGTCCAGTATAAGGAGTCTCGCTTGGCCTGGGTGGAATCTGCCTTAGAGGAGGAACAGATGATTCTGAAGCTGACGCTGGACAATTGGGACTCCGTTTTGGCCTTTGCGCCTTCGGAAAGCGGACGTAACGATATGGTTTCGCTCCAGCCCTCTACACAATCGCTGGCATCGTCCCTAACAGCTCCAGACTCAACCTCCATATCTGGATCCACCACAAAGCCGTCCGCTCTGCCTGAGAAAAGCGACGAAGGCTTGGTCAGACAAGCGAGAATGCACCTGGCGTCCGTGGGAAACGATGCGTCGTTTTCTCCGCTGGATAAGCTCAATTCTCGCCGCAGATCCAACACAGCGTCTGTTCATGGCTACAAGCCTCCACCGCTTCCGATCTCCATCAACACCAACGCCGCGTCCAAGCCCGTCAAGATGTCGAGTCCCGTGACGCCGTTGCTGATCGATTTCCCGAAAACGCCGTCGTTGAAATCGGTCACCATCTCTCCATCTGTTCGTGGCTCAAAGAGACGCACCAGCATCAACAGCATGTCCACCGGGACGCCCGAGGTGGTTCGGGAATTTTCTCCCGAGCCGCAAATCACCGAAAACAACCATTTCCCTACGGCACAAGCACCGGCTCCTGAAGCTAGTCTGCCTGTTCCAGTCACCGCTATACCGTCGGTTCCATCGCAACATTCACTCGACCGCTCAGCAGTCCAGCGTTCCATCAGCCTGGGGTCCACACAAAACGCCCCGATCCAAGAAAAAAGCATCCTGAACGCCGACAGAAGACGGTCCATGTCGTCGATTCACTCTCCACCGATCCGCTCTTCGTCGTTCCATTTCCTGCCTCTCGGCATATCTCGACGTCGTAGTATTACCAGCGCTGGGTCGAACGGAGCCGTGGAAAATGCCGATCCGCTGAGACTGTCGTCGCCGTTGAGTCTTGAAACCTCTCGTTTCAGCACCAGACGAAGCTCACTTCGAAGAAACATCTCCACGCCTTCTGTGATCCACTCGCTGGCACTTGGAATGTCGACCTCCAACGGAAGCCTGGAAACGCTACCAGCACGTCCGGAAAGACTCTTTCGCCATGCCAATGCTTCAGACTCCATGATCCGTTCCAGACCAACATCGCCGTTGGAGCTGACGGAGGAGTTCAACAACCTGATGGATACAATCAAACTTGGACTCCAGCGGTCCCACGACGCCGTGCCCGAGGACCAGGTGGTTCACTCGTTTGTGGCTACCATACCTCGAGATAAGGTGAGACGAAGTGAAACGACTTCGCCAATCAAAGATCGCCGTTCGGACAGCCGGACGTCGACCATGTCTTCGCTGAGCTCCGTGCACACGCAGCGGGACCTCAACAGCATCAAACTCACGCGGGTTCGTGACGATTGACGACCTTGCATCTATAGTCATCGCAGTTGGTAATCAGCTGCCAGCAATACATTTGTGATCTGCCGGGGTCTGTAGAGGGAGAGGAAGTAGGTTTATTTGGTTGTGTACTGAATAATCCATTAAACAAAACAAAAAAACTGAACTATGTCATGGTGATTTAATTTGTTGGAGCTTAGGTCTCATGGTTCATGCTGAATTAGTAGTACAATGTGGTGAAGACCTCATTGTCTCTCGTGGACGCAGCTGGAATTTATTCGAGGAACTGGTGATTGTAATTATTGATGAGGCTCTTCATTGTATCTTACATCTCAGCGAGATAAAACCAGCCTATCGCTATAACGATAGTACAGAGAGCGTTGTTCGTAGTACAATGTGGTGAAGACGATTAGGTTGACTTGGTAGTTTGTTTAAGGAAGCAATTTCAACAAGATGCCATTACATCAATTCTATATACTCAATTCTCAAATTCATGTTCATAGAATTATGCCGTTGCTACTGGTATTGGAGTATCTGATAGCTTTCCGCATTGGGCTCGGAAGTAGATCTGAAACACCGGGCAACGTGAAACACACCAACAACTCTCAAGTAATCTTCAATTTTCAGACACATTTAATAAACCGACTATCTGAATAAATCCAATAAATTTTAAAATTTGCATTAATCACCGACCCAATTATTGACCCACCCTCCCCTCCGTGAGGATGGCTGCAAAAAGGTGCGCTGAAATTGTCCCCCTTGATACCACCTTCTTTACCCAAAAATGATCGAATCACTTCCGTCAAAAACAGTTGAATTCCCAATTCCACTGAAGAAAAACCAACAAGCCAATCTCCTATGGGCCGTTATTGCACTCACAGAAATCGCCAAAACAGACCAGACTCGATACGTGGATTTCTGGCACTTCCTTTCAAAAAAGCAGAAGCATCAACTAAACGAAGCTGCCTTTCGTGAAACCCAAAGAATCCTCCAATGCACCTCCCTTTGGTTCCAGTCGTCATACTTTCGTTTCAGGTACCAGCGGAATCCCATTCCTCGAAGTGTCTATAGAGGCTACTTCAGTATCGAGATGAAACCCAGGATCGGAATCAACGTGTTGCTCAAGGAGATGGATTTGGTGAAGATGGAGGAATCCACGAAAAACACGCTCTTCAAAGTCAAGATGCTGAACTTTGGCAGCGACCTGATCACACTCAAACCCACCAAGCAGTGCTATGTCGAAGCTTACCGAGAGATTCTTCCCCTTTTCGACAATACGTTGCATTGCACAAGCAAGGGCAACATCGCCATCAACGTCATCAAGGAGCCCGTGCCTGTGCTTCTCTTCTTGCGTACCCCTTTGGATCCCAAATCGACCATCAAACTGCTTCTCACGATCCACGACGAGTTTGAGTACGAGACGAGAAAACCACAGGAGTATTTTGTGCTTGTGCTTTTCAGATCCAACAAAAGACCCAAACCGTATTGCACTAAACGGTCGACGCTCTGCTACTTGACACCGCCTTTGCAGGACCATAGAGAGCCCAATGTGTATTATCCCGAAAAGAAGCCCAAGCCGGTGGTGCAAAAGGCAGAGGACAAGAAGGAAACCGAGGAGAATGTAAATGATGATTTAGCCGAGAAGGAGGCAGCACCTCCTGAAAGCGCTGGAGAGGATAAGTTCTACGAGGCCGAGGATTCCACTGAAGAGCCAGAAAGAGCAGTTGTGGAGCAAAGGCGGGAAGATTTAGTTCAGACTGCACCACCACCGCCTCCCGTAGCTGCTGAACCCAGCTTCCTTCGAAGTGCACTTGACTTGTTTCGACGCAATCTTCCATCGCAAGCTCCTCCGAGTTTGATTGCAAACGGCATCCCCGATAGGATTCCACCAATGCCAACGAGAACCCTCAAAAGGTACAAGAAGCAGCTCCTCAAGGTGAAGCAAAAAGGGTCAAAGTGATGGGTATAGGGCTTGCACTGAGGTTTGGTTTACGTGATGGTGGCTGATATCCTCGAGGGGCAGCGGCGATACGGATTTTTGAAGCTCTGTCGAAAAGCAAAAAAAAAAAATAAAAAGAAAAGTAAGCTTGTTTCCATGGTCTTTCATAGGTCTTGTTGGGGCTTAATCAGGATAGCGTCGTATGGTGTACCAGAATGAACGGACGACAGGAAAACAGAGAACGGACAGCGGTAATCTGGATCGAGTTTTAAGAACATTAAAAGAAAACCAACAACCGACCACTGAATTCAAGCACAAAGGTAATTGGCTTCCATGAGTTTTCCAAAATCCACCGGGTGTACTGTATGCGTGCTATATGAGAGCCTCGCTAGAGTATAGCGAATTTGCAACATTTGATCCATGGCAAAAACGCCCGGTTCGGGAAAGAAACAGCGCTCCATTAGCGCGTTTTTCACGCCTAGAGCCACTGTCAAAGCCGAGTTGCCCCTGCCTGTTGAAAAAAGCCCAACTCAGGAAACATTGGCCACCAAAAGAAAGCTTTCTCAGTTCCAGCATGGCTCCAACGGCGATGGCGAAGAACCCCCGAGCCCAAAGAAAGCCAAACCAGCTAAATTGGCTTCTTTTAGAAACGCAGATAAGACAGCGCAGCCAAAAACATCGAAATCCAAGCTAACGCCGCTTGAAAAGCAGTTCATAGAGCTCAAGCGGGCCAATGCAGATAAGATCTTGGCGATTCAGGTGGGCTACAAGTTCAAGTTCTTTGGCAACGACGCCGTGGTGGCGCTGCAGCTCCTAAACATCATGCTTATACGAGGCAATCTCGAGTTGGACGAGAGGACCCACGACAGATTCGCATACTGCTCCATTCCAGATAACCGTTTGCACATTCACTTGCAAAGGCTCCTCAACCATGGAATGAAGGTGGGAGTCGTGAAGCAAACAGTGACGGCCGCCATCAAATCTGCCGAATCGAAATCGGGTCTTTTCGAGCGTCAAATCACTGGCGTATACACCAAAGCGACCTACATGGGCGACGAAATGCTTACAGGAGACCCAAGCATAAACCGGTCTGGTCAAGTGGACGAATCGGGAGAAGCCAACAGCTACATTATGGCCATTCACGAGGGTGATGCCAAAAACACTGCTATAGTTGCTGTTCAGCCAGTCACAGGAGACATCATTTACGACGTGTTCTCCGACAACAGCAGCAAGGATGAGCTTGAGACGCGTCTTGCGTACTTGGTTCCGTCAGAAGTGTTGATCATCAACAACGGCTCGTCCATGAGTCATGAAACCCAGAAGATTGTCAAACTAAGAAATCCCTCTGCATCGGTCCAGTTCAGGGTACAGAAGAAGCAGCTGGAAGTCCAGGCAGATTTGCAAAAATTCTTCTCCAGCGTTGAGTCGAACGAAAAGGTGTCTCATTTGTCAGACCATTACCAGCTAAACTATCACGCTGCAGTATGTGGATGCATCAACGAGCTCATAAGCTATCTTTCCGAATTCCAACTCAGCAACGTCTTCACCATTCCCAGCAACATATCGTCATTTACAGATTCCCGCAAGTACATGCTCCTACCGGCAAACACGCTACGAGCATTGGATATATTCGAAGTCGAGGATAATCCCTCTTCCAGAAAAGGCACACTCATATGGTTACTTGACCACACGAAGACCAAAAGTGGCTCCCGGCTTCTCCACAAATGGATTTCAAGACCGCTTGTTAATAAGGATGAGATTGAGGAGAGGCTTACAGCTGTACAAACTCTCCGAGACGGCCGCTTTGTGCACATGTTGGACGTTCTCAAATCGACAATACAGAAGCTCGGAAAGGATGGGATTGATCTAGACAGGCTCTTGATCAAGGTCCACTACTCAGCCGAGTACAAGAACGACAAGATTGCTCGAAAAGATGTCTACCTAATGCTCAAAGGATTCAGCGATGTTCTTGACGTTTTCCAAAAGTTTGGGGAGAAGGGTCTTTCTGAGTTCAAGGCTGCCAATACCTCTTCTTATTTACAAGACTTGTTGGAAAAGATGGCAGAACTTGCTAAAGAGCCTCATGTTGAACAATTACTCGGTCTGATCAACTCTTCAGCTGCCATGGACACCAGTAATCTCAACGATCAAAAGACAAAATTCTTCAACCTCGGCGATGACAGATTCGGAAGCATTCAACAGGAGCAAGACAACATTGAAGCGGTTGAAACTCAATTAGGTGAAGAGCTCAATTCCATAAGACTGTTCTTAAACAGACCACAGCTTCAGTACATTTCCAACCTCAAAGACACACATTTGATTGAGGTTAGGAACGGAAAAAACGTCGATGCATTGCCATCAGATTGGCTCAAGATCAGTGGCACCAAGTCAGTCTCCAGATTCAGACCACCCGAAGTTAGCAGACTTCACAAGGAGCTCAACTACCATCAAGACAAACTCCTCAAAGTGTGCGACGAATGCTTCAACAAGTTTCTCAAGGAGATCGATTCTCACTACGAGCATCTTCATCACATTGTCAGCAACGTTTCCGTCTTTGACTGCCTCTTGTCATTAGCATCTGTTGGAGCAGAAGACCAAACCTACGTCAAGCCTAGACTTGTGGACGAGCAAGTGGTTGATATCAAGGAGGGAAACCACCCGATTCTATATGCTTTGGCGCAGAATTCAACGTATGTTCCAAACAACGTCGATTTATCGCATGACAAGAATCGAGTCATGATCATTACAGGACCCAATATGGGCGGGAAATCGTCGTATGTCAAGCAGGTTGCTCTTTCTGTGATTATGACGCAGATTGGAGCATTCATTCCTTGTGAATCGGCAACATTGGGCGTATTTGATTCAGTATTCATACGAATGGGTGCTTCCGACAACATCCTCAGAGGCAAGTCGACGTTCATGGTTGAAATGGCAGAATCTGCCAGTATCATAAACAGCTTCACTTCAAAATCGCTAGTTGTGCTTGATGAAATCGGTAGAGGAACGGGTACAAGTGACGGTATTGCTTTGGCCTATTCGATTTTGAGATACATGATAGAAAGCGACCAAAAGCCGTTGACGCTATTCATCACGCATTACCCTTCATTGCATGTTTTGGAAAGCGAGTTTGAAAACGTCAAGAACTACCACATGTCGTTTTTGGAGACTAATAGAGGAACAGACCAGGACTGGCCAGAGGTGGTTTTTTTATACAAGTTGGCGCAAGGTGTTGTGTCAAATTCTTACGGTCTAAACCTCGCCAAGCTAGCAGGCATTCCGGTCGATGTGATCAGAAATGCCCACGCTCAGTCAGAGTCTATGAAGCGAGAGATAGAGCTTCACTCGTTGATGAATGCTATCAGCAACCTAGGCAGCAAGGATGGCGCCGAGGCTTTGCAGAACCTTGTGCATCTGCTTTAGTTAAGTCTTTTCACCGAGACCCAAGAAGGCCAAGACGACCTTGTTGAACTCCTCGGGATTGTCTAGATAAATATGATGGCCAGCATCTTTCACGACTGTCAAAGTCGCCTTTTCGTCTCCCAAAGCCTTGAGCTTCTCCACGCAGTAGTTCCCGCCTTGCATGTTCATCCAGTCCTTGTCGCCATAAAGCCATAAAGTATCAAGACCGGTGCTTTGGATAAGTTCCATGAATCCACGGTCACAGAGCGGAAGACGAGCAAGAATGTTGTGGTTGATGAGTTTTGTGATTGCAAGTTCGCCAGAGCCCTGGTACTGGTTGAAAACCGAGTAGGAGTACTCGTGGAGCTTGTTGATCAAGTCGATGTTGACGGGGGCATCTGCATCCTCCGAATTCGCCTTGAGGTTCTTGAAACGCTGGAACGACCAGTACGACAAGACTTTCAGGTAAACGGGGCCGAAGATCTGGAGAACCTGGAAAGGCGAGACGCTCCACTCCCACATTGTCTGTAGAAGCTTATTTTTAGGAAACTTAGGCTCGCCCAATTTCTCCCACAAGCGCTGTAGCTCTGGATTTGTTTCGTTTTCTGGGTCCTGAGTGGCAAAGATCTCCTCGAGAGGGTCTCCGCCGTCGTGGAAGTTGCGCTGGTGGTTCTTTTCGTTGATGAGACTCACCGAGCTCGATTCGGTGCCCATGGGGCTTACCACCGCAAACTTCGAGATAATGTTCTGGTGATTATACTTCATAATGTAGCAGCTGCTGAGGTAGGCGCCCATGGAGTGGGCCACCAAGTCGAATTTAGCGAGACCCTTCTGCTTTCTCCACTCCTCGAACTTGTCAATGAACCAGTCCTCCACTGCAAGCACCTGCTGGACCTGCTGAGCCTTGGACGCGTCTTTGGGCGTTCTGAGCAACTCCGGCGGGAACTTGGGCCGTGCCAGATTGCCGAATCCAGGCATATCGATAACGTGCACGGTCAAGTTGCCGTACGACTTGGCAAAGGCCTCGAAGTTCTTGACAAAGTAGCCCAGCGCCGCCATGTAGCCGTGGATCACGACAATGTCCTTTTTCGGAAGCGAGAGGTCGGAACGGTTGGAGATCTCGAACTCGTGGATGTACACCTGGGAGTCAAGCAGCACATCGAGAAAACGACCCACAATGGCCGTTCCGGGCATATCCGGGTCCGTCTCGCCCGGCGGCACCATGGCCACGTCGTTCGACAAGATCGCCCGGTACAAAGCGTATTCCAAGCGGATCAAGCGGTTTCGGGCAGCAACAAACTTGTCGTTGGTGAGTCCCAGCGTAGGTTTTCTCAAATTCAGCGAGCAGTTCCACCAGTCCTTAAGCGACTGGGCCAAGTCGATCGACGACGGAATATTGGGCGTTTCCCGGGCGTTAGGGTCGCCCATGGTGGCCACCGATTGGGATACCAAGTTCATGATAAGATAAGCGCGGGAGGAAAACGGCTGGTATTTATCGTGGTGCATGCGCAGGAGGGAGAGGCAAAAACAAGAAGAATGGGAAAATGGAAAATGGAAAAGATGGAGTGATGGAAGGGAGGCAAGGGTTTTGGATGTTTATGGGCTTTTTTGTTTTCGGAGGTCAATGGGTGGATTGGTGGGTCGTTTGGGGTGGCCCTTTTGAGTGCTTATGTAGGGTGCTTCTGTGCTGGTAACCGCGGTTGATTCAGTGGAAGTGATATGGGGTGGAGGCTGTGATCTACGGGATGACAATTTCCACTTTTTTATGGAAACGCCTTTTTAGAGATTTTGTGTTTTCCAATTGTATGGGGTTTTCTGTAATGGCCCACCCAATCAGGAGATTCGGAAGGGGCTGAGATCTGGTGTCTCAGTTTCGCAGCCAAACTGGTCTTACGACGTTGACCTTCCCGATTCGGTAATCGGCGAATGGGGCTGGTTTGGGTGGTTTGGTGGTCAGGAGGGATTTGGATGGTGAAGATTTTAGAGAATATCGAGAGTTTGGAGAATCGTCGGTTTGTGTGGTTTTGTGGTATTCTGACATGTGAAGCGTGGGGTGGACTGAGTAGTTGGAGGTGTCGTATAAGGTGTCTTTGGAAAAGAGACCAGATCTTTTAATTTTCTCTTTTTGTTCATTTGAAACTTTTTTCGATATCTGCGGAAGAATAGCGATATGAATGTATGGCTTTACTGGAGCTAAGGGACTGAGCCACGAGGATCGAAGCTATAACAGCGATAGACGACTTCGTAAAGTTCTCCAATTAAAAAACGGTTCAAACTTCAAAAAGGTGCTGGTGTGGAAAACTTCAGAAAAACCAATCTTGTGAATAACCCGATTTCTGGTATTGCTTACTTCATGGTGTTTCGCAGCCAACAGCAACATACCAAGAGAGGTGATACATCCTTCGAAGATGTCATAATAAGAATATCATAATTTGCCAGAAATCTTGAATCTGGAAAGCCCCTTTCTTGCTATCTTTCACACCATCTTCTTCTCTGGCTTCACTCCCATCTTCCTCTTCCCCACAATCTTCCTTATCGCCGCCACCATATCCTCCATTCACCACTCCACCACCCCACCAGTCTACATTTCATCTTCATTTAATTTATTACAGGCACTGCCCAAACCAATCATAATCGTGTCTCAGGCGCCTCCCTCTCGCCGGAAGCGCCTCGTATCTATACCCGCTTATCACTAACCGAGTCTCGCAAGCTCACCAAGCCACCTCACCAAACTCACCACAACATCAACAAGCTTACTTGGGAATCTCGGTGTACGCTGGAGGAGATCCGGTGTTGATTCCCGGCTGATGAGGGGTCGTGGAGGTGGCACCATAGTTAGGACCAGTCACTGGACCAGGCTGCTGGCTGTGAGTGTGGTGATGATCGTGTCTGTGATTTCCACCCTGTCTCTCCAAGTCATTCTCGTAAACATAGTAGATTCTCTGGTCGTTGTAGGCACCAGGAGGGTACTTGGCGATGATGTACCACGAGTGGATCAAGCCAGGGAGGTATCCGAGAATACAAAGAAGGATGTTGATGAGCGAATCGGCGGTACAGACACCACGGCGGATCCATACAGGAAGCGGAGGGAAAAGCACGGAAATCACGACAAGGAGAATGTCAGAAAAACATTCACAGCACATTTTGGTAAAAAGATTGTGTAGTTGATAGGAGGAGGCGAAATGGGTCCCATGTGCGCGCATGCAGGCAGGTCACACTCACGCCACCGGGATGGGAGTGGTAGTGAATGGACTAGGGTGTTTTGGGGTGAGGAGGGTTTTGGGAAGGTTATGGGATGGCAAAGGTTGATATGTGGTCAAACCGGGGTTAAATGGGGTGGTTGAAAATTCGTTGTCACGTGACCAATCACGTGCGGACACCATTCCCACTATTCTGGTCATTTCATGGAAATGGTGGTTATTATTTTTCATTGAAGCTAAATTTTATCCATATTAGCGTTGAAGCGGAGACGTGAATGCCTAGTGGTGTTCAAAACAGTCGTGGATTCAGAGAACCCAATTGCAGTTTCACACTAATAACAGTCAAAGTGGACCCGACTAAACGAATTAGCAATAAATTAGATCAACCAGGAAATAAAACCATCAGAAAGAAATCTAATTAACCCGGATCTACCAAAATCTCATTATTTTCAGTGGCTCGCCGAGAAATACAGACAAGCACATTTGCATCCCATTGTCACCAAAACGAGACATGGACTGCTGGGCAGGAAACCGATATGGTAATGACAAAGATCATGTAAGATTATGTGTTGCTCGAAGGGCATACAGGGCTGTATTTCCAAGAACTTGAAGTTTTAGCGACGCATTGTAATGGGGGAATTTCGGTCATATTTTATGGAAATCGTCATTCCAAGAAGAGATGAATTTGCCACCAGGGTTGGTGAATCTGGCTCTTCTAATTGCAATTGGAGCTTTTTGGACCCATACTTTCATAAGGATATGTCTCCAAACGAAACGGTGCTACACCATTCCATAAATACCAATATCGCTGATATCTGATAATCTCCATACATCGCCATACATTACTTGCTTTCCCAAATGGTGACGTAGCTCTGACATACAGACCATGTTCTTCGCCACTGGCTATTCGCCACTGGCTACTTTTTGTATTGTTCAAACCAATTGTGACTCAAACCCTGAGATGACGAACTACTTGCAAGGACCATAAATAGTCACATTTCCCAGAAGACGTTTCCTTTTTTCCACACCAAAAAATCAAATGTATTTGTTGTTTCTCTTCTACATCTCGCTCGTTGCCTCTTACGGCATGAGCCGTTTCGGCCCTAGTCTGGAGGACAGGAAAGAACAATACGTCAAAGGATTGGAGGAAAGATCTTCTAAATTGACCGATCTGGTGGCTGTTTGTGCCGAATACTACGATGTCGTCGCTTCCAAGAAGTTCTCTCTGGAAGGCCACATTGTATATATTCAGTCTGTTGAAGGCGAAAGTGCCCATATCGAGAATCCTCACGAGAGTGTGTCTGTTTGGGCTAAATACCGCAAGGTTAGGTTGTTCAAAAACTGCATTGAAACCGCTGCTCATGTCGAGTTTGTGGATTCCGAGGCACAGTTGGAAAATATCAAGGTCTTGAGTGATGACAGAGAAAACTGGGTCAAAGCTGCTGAGCGTAAGATGAAGCAAGGCTACTATCCACCAGATATGTACTACTACGATTGATGTCGGGTTTGAATGCTAGTTACTTCGTTTTTAGCTTTTATAGTTTGGTTTATCCATGCTTGATTTAGTCAATTGTAATCATGGGGGCAAGGAGTCGCTTCATGTGACAGGACATTTCATGAACTGTAAGACACTAGTTTCTCTTATTTTTTGTTCTCCCTCCACAATAACAAAATTACCCTCCACGAAGCAAATTTACCATATTTAGAGAAAACTACAAAAAAAATGCACCCGGGGTGAGCACCAAAGGTTGCTTGAAAGATAGCCCGGATATAATCATGGAGATTGCTTCGCCCAAGCCTCGGCCACAATGGACTAAATCCATAACCTACTAGAGTAAAAAAACACGTTTGGCGCTCGGCCTTCGGTAACAACGTCACTTCCGACACGGAACCCAATTATCATGGTGATGATTTTTCTTCCCCTCCATTGTAGAAGACATACTACTCTGCCAAGTCTCATGGGCGAAACAAAAATAAGCAAAGCTCTCACTCTATAAAAGCCCGCTAATCCACCTCTCCTGAGCGCCTCAGTATGCTTTGGTTTACGACTATTTTTGCTACCTTGGTAGCTTTAACCTTAGCGAACTCTGAGTCTGAAATGATTGACAAGTTGAAAGGTGAATTCGAGAACTCCTCCATTGAATTGAAAAGGCTGATTCCTGAGTGTGAGGAGAAGTTTAATGTCACCTCTACTTACCACTTTTCTCCTCTTGGTTTCGTTGGAAAGGTCAATGAAGTCGATGGAGAGGACCCAGAGGAATCCAGCAAGTTGGACCAATTGAGAGACTTCAAGGACTGTGTGAAGGAGTATGCTGCTCTTAAGTTTTACGACTCCAAGGAAAGGTTCGAAAGAGTTCCAACTATGGAGGATACCCGTGAGAGCTGGGATCTTACTGCTGGTTTTGTGGTGAGACAACATCTCAATCTTGAGAAAATGTGAGATATCAGGATGAGTTGAGTTTTCTGGACGGAGTGACCCAAGACCACTTCTTTCTTATGAACAACTAATCTAAGACAAACAGTACAGGCGTATGGTATTTTAGTATGATTAATGATTTATGAAGTGTTGATGTAGGATGAGGCATTTTCGGTTGATTTCGAGGGTCGTTCGTAGGAGGTGATTTGATTACAATTGGCGTTTAAAGAGCTGGAATTCTCAGTCGAAGAATACGTTCATTTCTTTAGTAGTTGTTCCTTCTTCGCTCATGGACCCTGAAGTTCTCAAACATCACTTTTCACTCTTTCTCTCACAGAGACACACTTTTACAAAAAGCTTAAGAATTCTATGATCTTACAAGACTTAGAGAAAAAATATAAAAAAAGCCATTTATTATTGTACTGACCGGATAAACTGGGTGGTGAATCGGAGGGACCTGCATATACCCCACATCAACTCCGTCTGAGTAAGTATACTCTTAGATCTATTCTGCAATGTCTCTTACTTTTTCCATTGCACACAATCAAATCACAAAAAAGGTATCATGTCCGAGGTCAAATACTGTGAACCAGCTAGCCTCGCTTGCAATTGCTAAATTCGGCCTCCCCCTGTCGGCAAACGGGACCCTTCTTCACAGTGGCAAAAAGCTAGACGGTCTTTTACCGCTCAGATTGACGAATTTGGTCAACAACGCCAAGTTGTTGCTTGAGGTGTCTTCGGCGCTGCGCCCTGTTACTGTGAAAGTCGTGGCTTCAGTTTTGGGAGAGCTGAAACAGAAGATCATCAAGACTCAGACTGACAGTACAGTTCAACAGCTACTAGACACATTTTCAGCCGAATCGGGAGCACAGATTGGTGATAACAGAGTACAATTGAGTGTTCTTGATGCTCGTATTGAGAATGGGTCGACAGATTTCACTTCTACGCTGTTGGGTTCGATTCTAGGTTCAGCTAACAATGCTGTGATCAGACTCACTGTGGAAAGCAAGGACGCTCACAGCAAGAGAGAGAAGCTACAGGCGGAGCAGAGGGAATTGAGGCAGCAGCTAGAAGAGCATAAACGCCAGGCGAGGTTGCTAGAGAAGAGGCTCAAGGAGGAAGCACAAGAAACTGAGAAACAAGAGGAGCCCAAGGAAGAGGAGGAGGTCGAGCCTGAATTGAAGGATGAGGAGGCTGAAGCTATCGAAGAGCCTGCTGGTCAAGATGCAATTGCTGAGAATCCAGGGAAGGATGTGGACATGGATGTCGATGAGCCGCAAGAGCCGCTGAGCAAAGCTGAGGAGATCAATGCGTTGGATACAAAGCAGGAAGCTTCTGCGCTGCTGAATGACTCATTTCCTCAAACCCCGAGCGATGAGTCTTTTAAGGTTCAGCACTTTAAGGAGGACACTGTCTACATTCCCCTGAATCGCTCACAGCACTATGAAAACCCAGACAACGACTACAATTTGACGGTGTCACAGGCTGAAAAGTACTATGGCATCATCAAGTCCATGCAACAGAACAAAAAGCAACAGCCTAAGGAAGTTGTTCCACCAAAAGCATACATTATCAGGGTCCGTTTCCCTGACAGAGCACTTCTAGACCTCCAGATCGAGGATTCTTCAATGAAACTTGGACAGCTCTTGAAGAAGCTAGACTCCTTTGTCCACGAGAAACACATCAACACTTACAGGCTCAAGAACGGTGTGCCGCCCTTTGAAGAGATTGCCATGGGGTTTGATGCCAACAACAAGGAGCTTAAACACCACAAAAGCTTTCAAGACGAACGTATCATGTTGATCTGGGAGTCTACCGATAAAAGTGCCAAAGGACCCTACTTGAAGCTGGACTTGAACACCAGAAACATTGACGACTTGCCAACGCTTCAATTGGAATCCCACAGAGGCCAATTGGGCGACGAAGAGGAGAAGAGAAGAAAAAGCATTCTGGAGCTGAATCAGAGCAAACAGCCCGAAAAGAAAAAGAAGAATGGCTTACCCAAATGGTTCAAGCCTGGCAAGTAACTCGGCCAGGGAGGCAACTCGGACCCCCCTGATCCAAGCCCAAAGAAGCCGCACAATAACTAATCAAGCCATTGTTGCCACCTTCCAAGAGCTATATGAAGCCTTCTAAGAAAATGTCAGCACGCCTAAGCCCGAAGGAGGGTATTTGACGATGTACCGCAGGATGGCTAAAATTGGAATTTCAACCCGATCAGAGTCTAAAGGGCGCTATTACCTGCAATAATTTTGTCTGATGGCGAGAGGACATGTGATGCTGGGCCGCCGCATAGCACCAAGAATTCCTTCAAATTCTCGCCTTATCATAAAGCTGCTTCACTATTACTGGTGCATTTGGACTCGTGGTCCTGCATGTACAGGCCTCTGAAAATTAGACCTGGTATTCGCCAAAACCGTACTGCAGGAAAGTAGCACCAAGGTCAATTCCAATTTCCTGGCAGCAGTCACAAAAGTCAGGCATCGGATTTCTGGGCCCGTGGTATTTACGACATCAATGGGGCATGTCCTTAATTTCGATATGTCACAATCAGGCCAGAACATCGCCCCTTGTAGGTTCGCAACCATGAGGGGATTCTCTGACTCATCGCTCAATTAGGCAACTCAGACTCTCTTTTACGCGGTACAAATCAATATCAACCATTGAAAGCGGCTCCTTGAGACGTCTGTGTGCAGTATTCCCGTTTACGGCCCGCGGCAGACAAAAAAATTTTTTCTACTCTTAATTTACGAAGCAACATATAAGGAAAGGATCTCGCGCAAAAGAAAAATCTTTTTCTTTTTCTCTTCTTCACAAACTTACAAACAAACATCACACAACTTATCAATTTATTATTTTACCCTTTTGTTCCCCCAGTTTAGTTGATTACAAGTTACAATGTGTGCTTAAATTATTTTAAGATTTAAAGAAAATTATTTTTTTGTTCTCCCCCGAAGAAATCAAAAAAGTCAAGTTATAAGAAGATCTATAACTTCCAATTAAGTTTGTTTGTTTAAAACCCCCCTGCCAATATGCTACTGTGATATAAGTTTGAATATGGTGTTCCACCTACCTTTACCCCTACCAGATATTACTATACTACCTTAAGTTAAGTTATCAACATACCACAAGTTAACACACAAAAAGTTAGATTTATTACATTGAAAACCCTTCCCCATTTTACACATACAGATTACAAATTGAATATCGAAATGTCAGCTCAGAACCCAGTGATTTACAACGACTCTATGTCAGAGTCCGAATTCCACCAGCCCCCCTCGTCCGTTCCAATTAAGTTGGAATCGATCGACGAGTTGTCGTGCCACTTGCCCACCAACCGTGACGTCGCCGATGTCCCCGTTGGTATGGCTGATGGCGGTGTTGATGAGTCGCCTATTTTGGTCCACACTGATGTCTTGGATAGCGTGTTCAGCACCACCCTTGACCAGAATGACCAGTTGATTAGCCACACTCCCATGTTTGACGAGTTGGACTTTATAATGGACGGCAACAAGGTGAACCTGAAGGACGATTGGGTGTCTCTCTTCAAGGATGAACCTGTTGCTGAGCCAGCTGTTCCTGCTAAGGAGGAGGACTTGGGCGATTTATTCGCTGACGAGGAACCAGAGCCCGTCTTTGCCGTTCCCGAAGCGCCTAAGCAGCTCGAGACTCCTATGACCCCAGCCTTGGCCACACCTGTGTTGGACAGAAAGAGAACCTCGTCGGTCTCTTCTGCCGGCAAGGTGTCCAAGAGAAGGGTCGACCACTTGGGTGTTACGTCGTACTCCAAGAAGCAGAGAAGCCAGCCATTGAAGCCAATCGACATGGAATCCCAGGACCCCGCTGCGTTGAAGCGTGCCAAGAACACCGAGGCTGCCAGGAGACTGAGAGCCAGGAAGATGGAGCGCATGTCGCAGTTGGAGGAGAAGGTTGAGGTATTGATGCGTGAGAAGCAGGATCTTGCCAGCGAAGTGATTCGTTTGCGGGAGTTGTTGATCGAGCACAACATCGAGTGTTGATGGTGTAGACACCACAGTTTATTATATTATTATTATCGTTATTATTGATTTATTTCTTGCGAATATAGGCCGCTCATCAAAGACTTGTAGGTTTTGTTCAACTATTAGTTTTTTTTTAACTGGTGATTCTTACGAGGGATTCTTGAAGAATTCGTGATATGCATTCATTATGTTGTGGAATCACCGGTGTTTTGAGAGATAGCAAATTTCCATTCACTGAGCCTTGGAGATCTCTTCCAAAACCGACTTTGTTTCGTATGATTCAAAAAATGACCAACTGCTGGATTTGTCTATGAATATGAGCTTTTGGTCACCATACTCTTGATGTGCTCACTTCTTAGCATATGTAAGAAGCACATCGGTGCCCAAACTGGCGGTTTCAAGCGACGAGATACAAGCCGTTGCTGCCTCTTCACTTTCAAAATCAATAAATGCAAGGTTTCTGGAGGGAATTGCACGGACATTCTCATACCCTGAGAAGCCCGAGAACTTCGACTCCAAATCGTCGAAAAGCTCCTTGTCGATATTTTGCAATAGAAGCACACGATGCGCTGGCAAAGACCGCCAGTACTTGACTTGTGATTTTGTGAGTTTCGAAGTGGAGGCCTTCTTTTCCACTGTCTCTTTCTTCTCTGCCTTTTTCTTCTTTCTCTCCTCGACAACGTCTTCTTTGCCCTGTTTCAACAAGATGCCATCCAGTTCTGTCTTAGCCCACGTTATGCTTATGGGTTGACGAAAAAGTGGGTAGTTCTGGAGCTTTGCCATGGCTTTTTCGGAGCTCTTTGGATCTTCATATGTGACGAACGCCTGGCCCTTCATTTTAAGGTTTCGATGCACAGTGACCAGCACAATGTCGCCATAGCGGCCAAAGAGACGTCGGAGGACGCGTTCTAGCTTATTTCTGGCGATCTTTTCGTTTATGTGGTTCACGTAGATCGTGTTCATGGAAGAAGATGTAGTTGATAATGTGTCCCATGCAGGTATCAACAAGTGGGTATGGAGTGTGGAGAATTATTTCAGTTTCCGTGGTCGAGAATTTATATAAATGTGAGGGTTTTAAGGCGAATTCATAAGGCGCTTCTTTTGTTAAACAATAGGTTTTTGAAATAGAGGTTCTTGTTGTGTTGGGGTAGTTTGAGAGCGTTTTGAGACTCTCGTTAGTGGTTAGGTATTTACGAGACACTTTTCACTATATTTCCCAGATTCAATTCAAACGGAACTTGATGTATAACACTCATAGTAATACGATATGTAAAAAATTCTAAAACTTTGTTGATTTATGTTTCTTTTGGTGTCCGTGACATCACCATCGATTTACATACCTAGTGCGACAGTGTAAAAATGTACCAAAAATGCAGTTAATAAAAAGTTAGGTCTCATATTTTAGTGGCTTCAATTTGAATGGATTTACTTTTACAGAGACCCCCGGTAGAACAGTAGTACTTTACACACCAGGAAGGCCGTTTTCAATAGCATAAACAGAATAGCATCAAGAGGCATGTACAAACCATAAGAAGACGAAACACATTACCGACATTCCAAACTCAAGAAACGCCGGAAACACGAACGAACATTCCCACCACATTAGTAATACAGTGCTCACAATACCGCTGGTTCCGAAGATTCTCTGGCATAGACAATACCCTTCAATGCATTAGGCGAGTAGCTCGAGCAAAAAAGAAATGGCTTCATGGCATCAGAAATAGTCTAATGTTCAGAATCACCCACATGGTCCAGCCTGCAACATGACGCTGGTGCTTGAAGCAAGCATTCGGATAAACTCAAGCAATCCGGTTAGGGTTTCAACCAGGAGCCGTTTCACCTGATGTCAGCGAATAACCGCCGTACATAAGCAATGTTCGTAAGTCTAGCCTATGTATCGCTTACGAAGACTTCAGTTGTGTGATTTTGATTGTGATCATTTGCTTGCGTTTGCATGAGCAGGGTGGGTGGTGGACTATAGTGGGAGTTTATGGCTGCAAACCAACCATACTAAACCAAACCTTATTTTGCCAGTGGAATGATTAAATTACGTGCAGCGCAAGTGAAAAATTTTCATCAGCATTGGAAAGCCTACCCAAAACGCTATCCCATCGAAGAAGTTAATCAAGTAGCTGTCAAACTCCACTATGACATGTAAAATGTTATCACATAGGGTGTCCAATTGAGGGAGCTAACAGAACTCCACCTAACCAATTAGACCAGAAAATACTCATCTCCAAAAAGGCTACACCAAAAAGTCTATATCTCTATCGTTTATTGTACCATTATGCCAATGCGGAAATGTTTCGTAAATGCATTAGACCTGCTCATCAGCAGGCTTGGACTCAGCAGCGAATCCGGTGGTGGTGGCCTGGCTCTCGACCGAAGGAGGCACCCAGTTGGCAGACTTCCATGGAAGCACACCGGAGGCGTACAACTCGTCGACCTCCTCCAAAGAAAGACCCTTGGTCTCAGGCACACAGAAGTACACAAAGAAGAAGGAAAACACCAAACAGCCCGTGAACACAAAACCGTAGTAGAAGTGGATGGCGGAGGTGATGAAGGGGGTGAAGAAGGAAATCAAGAAACCCCACATCCAGTTGGCAGCAGTGGCCACAGACATGGCCTTGGATCTGATTCTCAATGGGTAGGTCTCAGACACAATACAGTAGACACCACCGGCCCAGGTCGAGGCAAAGAAGAAAATGAACAAACAGGTGATGAAAATCAAGGCGTTACCTGTTGGTCTTCTGGTGTTGCTGGCGGTGTTTTCGTAGCCGTCGATGTAGAGGTTGACGGAACCGAGAACGGAGTAGATGATGAAACACACACTCATGGCGGCGGAACCGACCAAAAGACAGAGTCTTCTGCCCATCTTCTCAATGGCGTAGATACCGACGAAAGTGGAGGCGAAGTTCACCACACCCAACACAATGGAGGTCTGGAAAGAGTCGTCCATACCCACAGCCTTGAAAATGGTGGTACCGTAGTAGAAGAAGTAGTTGTTACCGGTCAACTGCTGGAGG